TCTCAAAGTGGTAGCGCACTTTGTCCCTGGGCCTTAAACGAAGATAATCCTTACGATGCAGCTTTTAAATTAGGTAGAGCTTTCGGTCTCGAAACAAAAGATCCAAAAGTTTTAGTGGATTTTCTTAGGAAAATATCCGCGTGCGTTTTAACTAAAAAACAAAGCGTGGCCGTTTCCGAAACGGTGAGTTAAATTAATAATTATTAATTCAATGACTTCTTATATTTCATCGTTTTGAAATTTTTCCCTGTTTGTTTGTTTGTTTGTTTTATGCAGAACAAACGAGAATGTCTTCCGTTTCCATTTTTGCCTTGCATCGAACAACCATCGCCGAATGCTTTTCTCACTGAACACCCGTTGAAAATTCTTGAAAAAAATGCCATCGCGAGCGACGTACCTTACATTACTGGTATCAACGAAATGGAGGGAGTCATTCTTTTGAAACGTAATAATAATAATAATAATTGATTTAATATAAATAAAAATAATTTTTTTTAATGAAATTTAATTTTTTTTAGCTGTCGTCGATAAACTTCCACCGATACAAGTAATAGAAAAAGATTTCGAAAGATTAGTACCCAGATTTCTCGGACTCAAACACGGAACGGAAAAATCAAAAGAAGTCGCATCGAAAATTAGACAATTTTATTTTAAAAATCGAAAATTTGACAAAAAAACATACAGAGAATATTGTGACGTAAGAATTGAAATAAAACAAACAAACAAAAAAATTATTCATTCATTTATTTTTATTTTTATTTATTTTTTTTTTTTTGAACAGTTAATAACGGATACGTATTTTCTACAAGGAATGCATACGACGACAAGATTGCATTCAAAATGGTGTAAATCCCCCGTATATAATTATTATTTTGTTTTCGAAGGGGATTTTGGTTTATTAAAAAAAATTATCAATTTAAAAAGTATTCCAGGTACGTTTTGTTTTGTTGGTTAAATTTTTTCTACCTTTTCCAATAAATTTAAACGTGATTTTTTGTCGTTATAGGTCCAGTTCATGCAGATGATCTCGGATACCTGTTTCACATTCCTGTTATTGGGCCAAATACCGATCCGAAAACACGCGAAATGAAATTCAGTAAAAAAATCGTACGATTATGGACAAATTTTGCTAAACACAGGTGAGAAATTTATTTATACACACACACGCGGGTTTATCAGTAGTCTTCAGGTACAGGCTTCGATAAACAATAACAATAATAATAATTTTTGCGATTTTTTTATGTAGTTTAAGGTCAAATGCGGATAACAAGCAAATTTTTTTTTTTTTTTTTTTTTGCCTATTTGGGGTTATTAAATTCTACATTAAATGTTTACAAACAAAAAAAATTGTAGGTAACAAAGTTCAAGGACATTTGAAACTCCACTCCTAAAAATTATTTTAATAAATATTTACAAATTTTTGTTTTAATTTAAAAATTTGTAAATATTTTATTTATTTTTCGTTTTCAGAAATCCCACTCCTTTTCCAGCGGATCCCGTTTTACATGATTTAATATGGAAACCTTTCAGTGAAGAAAACAGTGATTGTCTGATCATGGGGGATCATTTTCAATGGGTAGCGGGATTAATAAGACGTATGGATTTTGGAAAGAATAAAAAAAGTTATGAGAATATTTTTACGTTTTATCATGACTCCTCGAATCGTATGAATAAAACGATTTCGATTTCCCAAAGATGTAAAAAGAATCGTAACGATTTCGTAGCGCATGTTTGGTTTCCGTCATTCTATGTTTTTGCACTGAGAAGAAATTTTGTTTTTGACATTGTTAATTCATTAATTTTTATATATTTATGTGATATTTCATTGTTTTATTTATTACAATTTTTTATTTTGTAAATAATTAACCCTTTTTTTCTCAACCGCTCCCTCCTCTTCCTCCTCCACCTCCTCCTGTCGATGTGTTTTTCATCTTAGTTTTGTTCCACGCAATGTTATTAATAAAAAAAAAAAAAAAATGAATGCAAATTGAAAAAAACGTTTTAACCCAGTTGAAGAAGAAGAAAGTTGATTCAAGTTCACTTTCAACTAAACTTTTACTTTCTTTCTTAGTTTATTTAAAACCGAAGAAAGATTTGGATCTTAATAAAAAAAAAAAGTTGTGAATTTAATATTGCAAATTTTTTTTTTTGTTGTTAATAACTGGTAAAATTTACATAAGTACTTTTCACATACATAGTTTACATTAATAATAATAATAAATTCGGTGGCACCGTAAAAAAAAAAATAATAATTTTTTTAAATATGTTATTTGGACGATAACTTAAAATATTATTATTTTTTTTTTTTTTTGAAAATTTTCAAGGTGAGTAAATTTGAAAAAGTATACATAATTAACATTTAAAAAAAATTTTCCAGAAGAAAACATAATTTTTTTTTTGTAACGACAGGAAATTAAAGAGAAAAATGAGTTCGGAAAACAGGGGAGAAATTTTATTTGAAAGATTTGAATTTCGTGGTACGAGAATCGCACCACCCACGACACTTATGATCGGTACCGCTTTGTTAACACAACTGATAGTGTTATCAGGGGTTGCCATAATAATGGGAGTTGCTGTTGTCACAATGTGTGCTTTCGTATTTGAACTTTTTCTTTTAACAGCGGTTGCAACAATTTTAGAACGTGGTGTCGTTGATGTTGAAGATTTTGGTACTTTAATGGAATTATCAGCAACCGTTTTGATAACGGTTATCACTTTAACATTAGCAGTTTTGGGAGGTAGTGGGGATTCTACTAAAAATTCTGATATTTTTAAAGGACTACCATTGGCCGCATTAAAATTTAGTTAAATAAATATTAATTTAAATTATTTAAAATTATAAAATTTTTTGTAAAAATATAAATTTAAAAAATAAATTAACCGCCAAAAATTCATTCAATCATCGCGCTGGAGAAATTTCTTTTTTCCTTTTTTCCTTTTCCTTTTTTTTTATATCGATTTCGTGTTGCCTCGGCAACATTTTGACACCATAATATAGTAAATCATGTAATTTATAAAGACATTGTAAAAATTCTTGTGTCGTCCATATTAAATGTGACCTCCTCCTCCTCCTCCTAATATATTTCCCTGGATATTTTCCAAAATATATAATTTTTTAGTTATTTAACAATAATAATAATAGTAATATGATGTGTTCGATAAGTACTTTTGCTGGAAGGTGTTTATTACCTTTTTGTAATTCAAAAACAAAAGATGATGGGAAAACAGGTAAATTTTAATAAAAATAATTAAATAATAAATAGAGGATTATTAAAAAAAATTCGAATGACAATTATTTAAATTAATATTATTATTATTACTACTTTTGTGTGAGTTAAATGTTGCCAAGGGCATTTATATATATTTGGGCCAACAACTGGCATTTTTATTTCTAACTTATTAATTTTTTTTTAAATAAGAAGGTGCTTTCCATCTTTTTTTTTTGTATAATTACAGGTGATTATTATGATAAATCTAAAGTTTTTTACAAAAGAAATAATTTTAATGAAAGTATGAAAAGCGGTTTTCCAAATGGTGAACATGAAACGAACAAAAAACAAAAAAACGATCGAGCTTTGGATCCTCAAGGTAAATACTTTTTTATTTGATTAAAAAATAAATAAATGACGTCATAACATTTATACTGTTTTTTTTTTTTTAAATTTTTATGTATTTTTTGAAAAAATAAGGTAAAACATACATAATATGGTTGTTTGTCGTTACTTTGGCTTTTTTATACAATTGTTGGGTCATACCTTTAAGATCATCTTTTTATTATCAAACATCGGAAAACGTTAATAAATGGTTGGCTTTTGATTATGCCTGTGACGTCATTTACCTATTAGATTTATTATTTTTCAAACCTAGAGTTATGTATTTGAGCGATGGATTTTGGATAAAAGATAGTAAATTAACAAGAATTATGTATTTTCATAAAGTTCAATTTAAGGTGAGGGCAAAAAAAAAAAGTAAATTAATAACATAATAAAAGATTCGCCATTACAAAAAATTTTTGTTTGTTGCAGATGGATGTTTTATCATTGATACCTTTGGATTTATTATGTTTAAAATACGGTACGGATTACCTACCGATTTTCCGACTCCCTAGATTTTTAAAGGTAAAAAAAAAAAAAAAAAACAAAATTCCCAAGACAAATCGTTTATTTATTAAAGAAAATTATTATTATTATTATTTTTTTATCAGGTTCAAACATTTTGGGAATTTTACAATCGTTGCGATAATGTTGTTGCTTCCGGTTATGTCGTAAGAGTTGTAAGAACATTAAATTACATGCTTTATCTCATACATTTAAATGCTTGTGCTTATTATGCATTTTCCGTATGGGAAGGTTTAGGTACGAACGCTTGGGTTTTTAACGGAAAAGGAAACGCGTAAGTAAAATTGAAAAGTGGTTGTTAGATTATGAAATTAAAAAATTTCTTATTAATTGATTTTCTTTTTTCTTTTTTTTTTTTTTTTATAGATATATTAGATGTTTTTATTTTGCAACAAAAACTGCAACATCAATTGGTAAAAACCCGAAACCTGAAAACGTGTTTGAATACATGTTTATGACTTGGAGTTGGTTAATGGGTGTTTTTGTATTTGCACTCCTCATCGGACAGGTATACTTCCTTGTTTGTACATATACCCGTTACAAAAATTTCAAAATGACTTTTTTTTCTCCATTGCAGATTAGAGATATTATAGCGACAGCAACGAGAAATAGAACAGAATATAAAAAATTAGTCGATGAAACTCTTGAATATATGAGACGTTTAAATTTACCAATGAGCCTTCGGGAAAAGGTTAAACTTTGGTTTAAATTTACGTGGGAACAACAGCATACCTTTAGTTTGTATTTTTCTTTTCTGATTAAAATTATTATTAATTATTACCTTTTGTAAATAATAAGATGTGTGATATTTAGATGAATCAAACATATTGGACACGTTACCACCAAAATTAAAAACGGATGTTGCCATTAACGTACACATACAGGCATTAAACAAGGTACAAATTTTTCACGATTGCGATCCAGCATTATTAAGAGAATTGGTATTAAAACTTCAATCGGTTTTATTTTTACCAGGAGATTACATATGTCGAAAGGTATTTATTATATTAATTTTTTCCCTTTTCTAATAAAATAATAACTTTTTTAATCCCCCCCCATCCCATCTTTTAAAAAAGGGAGAAGTCGGAAAAGAAATGTATATAGTTAAAACGGGAATTGTTGAAGTGTTAGGAGAAGATGATAATGAAGTTATTGCCACTTTAAAAGAAGGTTCGGTTTTTGGTGAAATTAGTTTGTTATCATTGGGTGCAGGAAATAGGAGAACTGCTTCCGTTAGGTAACGTTTAAATAAATTTTACAACAAAAAAAAAATTATTTCGAATTAATAATAATAATATTTATTTATTTAAAGATCGGGCGGATTTTCAAATTTGTTTATTTTAAATAAATACGATTTAAATGAAGCGTTGGTTTATTATCCGGATGCTCAGGAAATTTTGAAAAATAAAGCCAAGTAAGTAATTATAGTAACTTTGGTAAAACTATAAAATTAATATCCGGTAAATAAAAAAAACGTTATTAAAAAAAAAATGATATTCTTTTGAAATTAGAATGAAAGAAAAAAGTTTAGCAACACAAGACATTGATGAACGTAAGTAAATTATTGAGTGAAAAGCAAATAAAAGCACGGAAAATTGTTTGTTTTTCCTCACCGGAAACACTTAAAATAATATGCATTTTAAACAAAAACTATATCAACAACGCACCGAAATTTTTCATTTTTTTTGTTTTTGTTTTGATTTGATCCTCATAAGACTTTTTTTTTAATAATATAATAATAATAATAATAATTTTTATAAATATAATAGGAAATTGATAAAAGAAAACGAAGAAAGAGAAAGACAAAATCGTTTGAAAGAACAAAGCGAACAAAGTGATGACGTATCTGATGACACGGAAGATTCTTCCGGTTCGGATGATTGCAAAAAAGAATCGGTAAAAAAAAATAATTTTTTTGTTTTATTTTTTATGTTCAGAATTTTAATTTTCTTTTTTTTTTTTTTGTGTTTGTGTGGGTGTGTTAGAAAAAGATAGAAAAAATAAAAAACGAATCAAAATTAAATCAATTAATATCTACATCAGCTTGGTTAACGACAGTTACCTCGGTCGCCATACCCGAACCCATATTAAATAAATTATCGTTAAATACCGATGACGTCATTAAAAAAAAAATAACCGTTAAAGATTCTAAAGACACGATACAATGTGATGTTACAGTACATAACGAAATGAATTGTAAATAAATTTATTATTTATTTAATAAAATTAAATTAAAAAAAAAAAAAATTTGGTTTCGTTTTATTTTGAAATATTATTCGAATAACGAGTCGAACAAGTTTTTAACGGGTCCCTACGAGTTAAATATTATGAAAAATGTTACGAAATTAATTTATTTATAATAAATAAAATAAAAAACGAGATTTTTTGCACAAAAATACTTAGAATGGTGGTAAATGATGAGGTTTAAAAAATATTAAACAATTTAAAATGTTGTAAAAACTACACAAAATCGTCAGAAAATGCCTTAAAAATTTTAATTATTTAATTACGCGTATGACGTCACGTTAAAATCAATACATTTAATAATAATGATAATTCTTTTTTAAAAAAATGAAAGTTTAATTAAAGGGTTTAGAAGGGATAAGTAATTTTTTTACCTGAATTTGTAAAATTAAAAATATTCTATCGATTTAAAAACATTTTTATACGTTTCCCTCGTACGAAACAACACAACAAACTACAACACAAAAGAAAATTTAATTTAATTAAAACTAAAAAAAAAAAGGGTAAAAAAGGGTAAAAAAGGGTAAAACATTACCATGCGTAATTGATGTATTGATAACATCGGTACCAGCCACTGCTCACTCATCACTAAATGAAGAAAATTGTCAAACTCGAATAAAAATAAATAAATTTAATTGAGTTTTATTATTATTATTATTATTACATAAAAATTTTCTTTTTACTTTTCAAAAGGTTGTTGTTTACTGATAAATAAGAAATTCGATTAATTTTTTTTTTTTAAACAATTTTAATTATTAATTTGTGTAAAAATTATAATATTATAAATATTATTAAAAATAAACAATAATTTTTTTAATAATCGGTTAATTAAATATGGCCGACTGGAATATATAAATAACGTAATTTTAAAAAAAAAAAAATAAATCACACGTTTCGTATACGATTAAATTATTATTATTATTATTAATATGGGTAAGAAGAAAAAAATTAATAATAAAAAAGAAATGAGAAATAATAATAATAAAAGGCACACAAAAGGTAAAAAGGATTTGGAAAATCCTGTAACTCGTGCAAAAATGTTTTCAACGGAAGCTGCGAGTCACGAAAAATGCGGATGTTATCGTAAAGCTCTTCAATGTTATAATTTGGTAAGTTTTTTTATTTATTTATAAATTATTAATTAATAATTTATTAACACGTGATTTAAATTATATTAATATGACGTCATCACACGGGCGAACACTTTTCCACACATGATAATTGTTGCATGCTGTTGCATGAGTGGAAAATAATAATAATTTTTCCCTTTTTTCATATCGTAACTTAATAATAACTAATAATAATAATAATAACAAACTGTTGATTCTTTTTGTTGTGCTAAATATTCCAAAAATTTGGGAGTTTCTTTTAAAAAAAAATTGTTTTTGATTTATCATAGTTATTCATTCACACTTAAAAATAAATTAATTTGATATTAAATATTAATTACAGCCCTAAATAAAATTTTTTTATTATTTATATGTTTGATTTTTTATTTGTTACATTAAGATGTTTTAGAGATCGTCATCGAAAGTAATAAATTTAATTAATTTTATAACTATTTATGATAAGCGTGATAAGAAGTAATCAAATTTTCCTTTTAACATATCACTTCCGTTTAATAAATTAAATAACATAAGGTAAACGATGGCGCGATTTAAAAGGTGTTTCTTGGCAACGAGCATTTAAAAGTGTTTCTTCCCTTTTTTTTTTGGTGTTAAGTGCCTTTCACGAAAGGTGCTAGGCTAGGTGCTATTGACGACGATTCAAATAAATATTGACCAAATTTAAAACGTTTTAAAATTGACTAAAAAAGGATTAAATAATGTCGGAACGTGATAATAGAGTCGATGGACACGAAAGTGATCGGGATAGTTCTATTTCGGAAGTTTATGCGACCGTGAATGACGATATCGTTGATAATGCAAAACACGAAATAGGAATACCAAAAAGACAAAAGAAAAAAAAAGGTAAAAAGGGTAAAAAACCTATCAAGGATGCGGGGGGATCGGAAAAGAAAAAAACAGAAATGAAACCTCCTTCGCCGAGAACGATTTCATCAAAATCAACATTTGCACTCATTGCAAAAGAATTAAAAGCGAAAAGATTGGCACAAATGGCCCGAGCGGCTGCCATGGCTAAGAAAAAAAAGAAAAATAGAGTTTTAAGAGATGAAGAAATATATACGGATAAAGATAGAGCTGCGGCTGTAAACATGGGTACGAGCGACATTAAACAAAGTTTGCAAAATAAAAAAAAACAAGATAAAAATTTTGATTTACTCATGCCCGAAGAAGGGGATCCATCGACTCTTTTGGCACTCGGAAGCTCCGAATTACGTAGTGGAAATTTAAAAATTGCTTTAAATTTTATCAACAAGGTCTCCTACCAAATAAAACAATGTCCTCCCCTTGCATTTAAACATTTTAACAATAATAATAATAATAATATTAACAAAATGTTTTCTTTTAAGGCTTTAGATCTTAATCCCGATGATAAGAATGGATTAGTTGCAAGAAGTAAATGTTACATATGTCTTGGTGAACCACAATTGGCATTAAAGGATGCAGAAACAGCTTTGGTTAAAGATAAAACCTTTGTAAGAGGTAATGAAGAAGAAGTGAGTACACTTTATTTAAATAAATAATAATAATAATAATGAGTACTTTTTTTCAAAAGGTATTTTTCAAAAAGCAGAAGCTTTGTATTATTTAGGAGATTTCGAACACAGCTTGATGTTTTATCATAGAGGACACAGAATCAGGCCAGAGCTCGAATGTTTTCGTTTAGGAGTACAAAAAGCACAAGAAGCCATTGAAAATACGATAGGAGGTAAGTCGAAGTAAAAAATATACCGGTCAGTCTCAAAATCTTTTTTTTTTTTTCATTCGTAGGTACCTCAAATTTAAAAAATTGTAAGAAAGTTAAAAATTCCATATCTTCACAACGTTCCTCGAGTACAAAGATGGAAAGTAACAGAACAAACAAATCATCAAGCGATAAATCCAGTAATGAAGTCGATACAAGAAGTTGCAGCACGACAACAACCACAACAACCACAACCGATAAGAACAAAATAAAACATGGAAGAAGTAAATCGGCAGCACCATTAACCAAAAAACCATCAAATAATTCTGGTTTCTTAGGTGAACTCGATGCGGATAGAATATATTTAGAAAATTTATTAAAACATCCAGGTATGTCCAGGTATTTTATGTTTTATTATTATTATTATTATTATTTAATTATTCCATTTTTTGCTTTGTTTTAAGATTTAAAATGCTCTAATGAAAATGCAGCAAAATTAATAAAAGCACAGGTTGAAGAAGGGATAACATTTTTAAAAAGTCGACAAGAATTTTGGAGACAACAAAAACCAACAAATTCTTCTTCTTCTTCTAAAAAACATTAATAATAATAATAATAAACGATTGCGTGTTTTTATTTATTGATGACGTAACTAACGGCCATCCTTATAATTATTATTATAAGTTGCAGCGTGTGTGTGTGTCTGTGGCGGGGGGGGGTGTGCGTGTGCGTATTTAAACCAATCGAACCGAGTGGAAAATGGCGTATATATTAGCGTAATTAAATATTAATAATAATAATAATCGATATTGAAAAAAAAAAAGAAAATTAATTTAATCATGCTGCATCATTTTAATGGTAAAAATAATATATATATATATATATATATAATAAAACGAAAAAATCCATGTTAACAATAACATTAACTCAGGCTTTACAGGTTCATTTACAAACACCAAATATAATTACAAAATAATAATAATAATAATAATAATAATAATAATAATAATAATAATAAAACAAACAATACATTTTTTTTTTATATGTATAATTTTATCATCTACAATTCGTAAATTAAAATTTTCTAATTTTTTTAAAATTATTATTATTAATTTAAAAAATTATTTGAATGTGTAAAAAAAAAAAATTTATAAAGTAAAAAATAATAATAATAATTAATTAAAATCGTTAATTAATGAGCCAAGTACAAATTTTTTTTTTTTAAATGGACATTTTTTTAAAGGACTAGCATAAGAATTTTTTTTTTTCATTCATTCATTTCGAAATCGATTAATTATCATCATTATTAATATTATTTAATAATTCATTTACTTATTATTATTATTATTATTATTATTTAAACGAGATAATGAATAATGTTAAGCGGTAGGGGGGGGGGGGGAAATTAATTGCATGATGTAAAAAAATTTCTTTCCTTTTTCAAATACGGTCGTTGTTGTTTTATTTAATTAATATAATCCATTCCATTTTGTAAAAACTAATTTATTATTATTATTATTATTATTAATTTAAAAAAAAAAATTGTTAATTGTTTATTTTTATTTATTTATTTATTTTCTGTTTCAATGTCTGTTAATTAAAACAAAAAAAAAATTTACAAAAAAAAAAAAAATTTTCTTTTCTTTTATACGAATTCTACTACATTTATACAGTATAAGTATTGATCATTAATTTTATTTTTTACAAAAAAAAAAAAAAAAAGGTGATAATAAATTATTTAAACTTATCAAACTATATATATATATAATATACGGCGATAAATTAAGCCTAATGAATGAATTTTTTTTAAATGGATCAGTTATTCGTAGCAAAAAAATAGCAAAAGATAAAGGAACGAGTAAGGACGAATTGACTGAATTTCCCTTGATTATTTTGATGAGGAGAAAAAAAAAAAAATAATAATAATAATATGATAATTAAAACTTTGTTTGTCACGTTTTCCAAACTTCGTGTTTAGGTCTTTGGTAAACAGCTCCAAATTTAGCCATGTATTTTTTTATAAAGTCTTTTGCTTTGGCTTTAACGCTGTCGTTACATTCCAAATCATCGACTCCTTTACAATGTTTAAGTTCTTTTAACATAACAAAATGCGTCAGCTAAAATTACAAAATAAATTAAATAATAATAATAATTATTAAAAACATTTTTTTTAAAACAATTAATTAATTAATTACCTTTCTTGCCAAATGTTTAAAATCTTCGTTACAAGTTATCCTTCCTATTTTACAGTCTTGTTTTCTGTACGGATTTAAATGCGAAACTATTGCTCCCGCCATATTGTTTTTAAAATTTTCTTTTATTTTCTTATCCGTGGCCGTATCGGAACTCGCCGTCACTTTTTCTCCTTTCGTTCTATTGCCACGTCCGATTTTATCTTTCCTTTTCTTTTTACTTCTCGACACTCTTAAATTTCCCTTTTCTGCGACTTTACCCTTGTTCCGTGACTTTTCCTTCATTCTCGCTTCTTCCTTTTGCCGTCTGAGCATTTCCTTCACTTCTTTATATTTCCTACTATCCACTCGATCTTCTTCTCGCCGAGGCTGTCAAAAAAAAAAAAACCAAATTTTTTACTTAATATTTTAAATTGAATACAAGATGATTTAATTTTTGTAAATTTACTCGTCGTTTTCAAAACTCACGCTTATCATTATTTCTTGAACGAGTCCAGCTCTTCTCCCTTTGGCAGGTTGAGAAACGGGAATCGTGACGGGAGGAGGTTTGTTTTCGTTGGGAACGTTAACGTTAATTTTATCTCCGGTTGCTTTTGTTGATTTTACTACTTCGATTTCATCTTCCCACGCACTTAAATCTTCATCTTTATCTTCTTCGAACGATTTGGATTTCAAATCATCGCCAGATGAAACACCTGTTACGTTATTTTTTGAATTGATATCGGTTATTGATTTTTTATCCGTGCTGACGTCATCATTTTTCTTGGAAACCTGAAAATCGGTCATTAATTACATTTTTTTTAATTAAATAAAAAACTTGATTCTTGTGCGTTGGGAAAAAAAAAAAAAAAAAACTAACATTGAACCCTTCTGTTTGTTGCTCTTTACGTTCTTCGACATGGTCTCCCTCTTCCCCCTCTTCTTCACTAGAACTATCCGTACTTGATTCCGTACTACTACTCGACTCTTCTCCCATTTCTAAATCGACGGTTTTGGCGGCCTCGATTTTCGCCTCTTCTTCACTCCATTGGGGAGGCTCCCACTGAGACACTCTTTCTTTTATGTGATAGTAGTAAACGCGACCCTTGGGATCTTTGGCTGCTTTCCATTTCGGAGGAAGCTTTATGGGAAAATTCAATGGAGTTTCCGTAATTAGAGGTCGATTCAACTCGTTCGAAGAACTTTCATCAAAAGATTGTTGCGCGTTTAAAGAAGAAACTGATTCGTGATAAGTGGCATCTAATACTTCTAAATTTGATTGCGGCAACTGCCCTTGATATTGAGTTGTCATATTTGAATAATTTTGTCGCTGGCACGGCGACACGGTAATATTTGAACACACAGGACCGTTTGTTAAAGGCATATTTGTATGCACCATTCCATTGTGACATATTGGATTATTTACATTTGAACAAACGGGTATATTTGTGCACATGGGACAATTTTGGATGAGAGCAGAATTTACGGAATACATAGGAGATGGACATATTGTAGGAGTGACAGAATGAGGCACGGAAGGAGATGGACCAGAGGATGAAGGACAGTTTTGCCACGTTCCGGAATTGTGATCGAAGAATATGGGAAAACCTGTTTGAGGATCACAAGCAGCATTTAGGTTTGGATCGAGCCCTAGTGCGAGACATCGAGACTCGTGCTGCTTCCACATTTCTAAATGCTCATTCCGTTTTTTGGCTTCTTCGTCTTCCTGTAATACTTTTAACGCAAATAGTTGACGACGTTCATGTTTAGTCATTTTCATTTTCCTGTAATATTTTTTAAGAAACAAATGTGAGAAAAAGAGTCTATGTTTTGCATATATGTGTTGGTGTATATATATATATATATGCAGAAAAAGTGTGCAAACTGTTCGTTCTGTATCATTTTATTTTCATTTACCTTTCATGATTTCTAAACCATTCTGGATCTGGAGGAGATTCTCGAGTTCTTTTACGATCCCGCATTCTTTCTCTTTCCCTATCTCGGTATCGTCCATACCTATCATGCCTATCATATTTATCCCTCACGTTTTCCTTTCCTAAATACTCGCAATAACCTCTGTCTGCTTGTCTTTCGTGTTCCTTCATTTGTTCTATCCTTTCTTTTTTAGGGATTTTAAATACTTCTTTAAGAGAAGACCACGATTCAAGCACAATGTCAGCCATTCGTTTCACTTTTTCAGCCGATTCATTCACTTCTTCGGATCCATCAGGTTTATCGAAATTTTCTCCATTTAACACATTTTGGGTGGTTTTATCTACAATTTCTCCACCCAAACCGGGAATACTTTCAGGTTCAGGTTTTAATTTTCTTTCGTCATTTACGGTTTCATCGTCGACTGAGAGTTTTCTCGTTAAAAATCCGCTTTTGGCCCATTGTTCAACTACAGTTAGTACCTTACTATCTATTAACATATTTTTGTTGGGTATAGGAAGCTTTGAAAGAGTTTTTAGAATCTGAAATAATAAATAATTTTATACTTAGCAAATTTTGAAGAGTGCACCTCGGTTATTAAATATTGCAAAAAAAATAATACGTAAATAGTAATCACCTCAAGTCTTCTATCATTTTTGTCGTTACTTTCTTCTAATTCTCTGCTCAACATCCAACTGCAAATGAGTCTTAAACCGTGATAGTCTAAAAATAATCTTCTGCAAGGAGTTTCTCCTTCTCTTATCAATTTCAATAACTTTCCTCTGGTTGACCAGTCTTCGGCCCGAACCATTAGCCTACTTAATGTTAATGTATGAGCCCTATTTTTAAGGCCCGTTTGAAATAATTTTTGTATTTCTTCATCCAACTAAAAATTTTTAAAGTGTTATTAAAAATATTTTTAAAAAAAAAAATAATAATAATAATAATAATAATTATTTAAAAAAAGCAAAAATTAAAACGTACTCCCATATCATCCACAATGGTTGTAGTTTTCCTATCTTTTTTCTTCCGTTCTGAAAGCTTTCTTTGCCTTTTGACTTTTTGAACGGAGGGAACAATTTTTCCCGAATCTTCCTTTTTATCCTTATCATCGTCAATTTTACCCATTTTTCGACTTAATTTTTTATCTTCTCCCTCTTCTTCATATTCTTCCTCTTCCTCATCAATGTCTTCATCTTCGTCATCATCCTCTTCTCCTTCCTCATCATCTTCAAAACTTTCATCGGGGTTTTCTCCGATCCATCCCCGGCAATTCGAAGCTTCACAATAGCATTTTTGAGCTTGTTTTCTGAATAATAGCAAAGTGATAAAAGTTAAATTAAAAATTAATAATAGCAAAATTTCCTCTTAGATAATGAAAAATAGAATTACCCATAACGTTGAAATTGATAATCGAACGTGATTTCTTCTCCTGCAGCAACAAATCTTCTCGTGAAAAAACCCACTCGTAATTCTCCATTTATAGTCCACTGTAATATAAATATTGAAAATAAAATTCTAAATTTGAGTTTCCGAAAATACAAGCAAGCGTCATCAAGCTTGCTTTACTTTTTTATTTATTTTATAATTAATTTTATTAATTAAAATAAATAATTTGAAATATTTAATGTAAACTAATCATTAAAATTCACCTTTTGAGTTTCAGCATTTGGATCGCAACTATGATTAATAAATCTCGAAATATTTCCTTTGTTGGTAGCATCAATCACTGCATCTCCTTTCAACGCCATGAAATAAAAATGCTTATTGTTTTCTTTTGCGTACATTTTAACTCTCCTGCCAAATTCTTTTTGATTCACCACCTCTCCAACGTATTCCATAATAAAGGTGTTCCTAAACATAAAAATTTCGAAATTTCGAAAAAACATATTTGCGAATAAACGTTTCGATATTTACGTAAGTAATTTACAAACCCGGACAAATCTTCTTCTGCACGTAAACCAAATCCCTTTTTTTCCGTTTTGAAAATTTTACAATTGGCATATTGCAATTTTTGAAAACGTTTATTAGTACATCTATCACCTAAGGCACATCTTGACCCACTAAAAATTAAAAAATAAATTAAAAATAAATTTTTGTACCATTACAATATTAAAAACATGACCAGTTTCATATTAATATTACCATTCTAAAAAAAGCATTCTGTTCAAACAATCTTCTCCGCAACCGACTTCTCCTCTGTTTAATTCTTCTTTTGTTAATACACAATCACAAATCATTCTTTTAGTTTCTTTACAAGCAGATCTAAATAATAATAATAATAATAATAATAATTATTATAATTTTCAAATGTTAAAAATAAGTATTAAGCAATTATAAATTTTACCTTTCCATTTTATATTCGTTTTCAGTAAGAACAGTAAAGCTTTTTAAACCTTCCTCAATTTCTTTTTTTTCTCTTTCTAATTTTTCCAAGTCTTCCGGAGACGGTTCTGCATTGCAAGACATTTGAAAAGGTAAACTAACGGGGGATGAGCAAGTAGAAGACACCGACTCCGAATCCACTTTGCCGCAATGCATTTCTAATTCGCTTGATCGTCGCCATCTCGATTTTACTTTAACTGGTTTATCATCGTATGCGGGCACTGGTGGAGTGACTGCGGGCGAACCAGATGCCATTGGACTTTTAAGCACATTTTCTGATTTAACTGCAGCTTGCTCTCTCTCTTTTTGCTTCATAATACCTATGGATCGGATGCGATTGCTTCTTCTAATGGTACCCCCCAAATTTGAATTACTATCAGTTTCTGCTACATCAGTACTTCCAGTTCGACTTTTCGCTGCTGGCGCTTTCTTATCAGAAGTTTCATCGCTAGCCTTAGACGCAGGGCTTTCATACCTTTCCCACTGTTCGTCTAAACCAATGCTTTGTAATTTTCTAGTAGTTTCCTCTGTTTCATTTTGAATATCTGAAGAAGTATCTTCTGGGGAGCTAATATTTTTTTTTATGCTGTCTTCAATTTTAGAATTTTCAACAACATTCATAATAACGTTATTTAGTTCTTCGGTTTCCGATTTTACGCAATTGCCAGGAAGTTCATCATCTGCATATAAGATTTTCGAACCAGATTCTTCATTAAAATAAACAGGTGTAGAAGATGTAGAAGTATTTAAGAAATCCTTTTCTTGCTTTGGTAATGATTCACCAAATTCTAAAGGTACAGAAGATCCTGAAACATTTCTTTCTAACATTTCAATGCCTTGGAGAACTTTTAAAAAATTAACTGAATTTATTTCAGATGTTGTTGCCGTATCGAAAAATAAATTAGGTTTCACACTGCTAGTTATTGTATTTGAACTAAAGGTACCTGGTTTAATAATAACTGAACCATCTAATGGAATGTCATTTTCTGCTTTATAAACACTAGATTGTTTTCGAAAATCGACAAAAGAATTTTGAGCTTTAGCTCCTGTTATTTCAATTCCTCTCATAATATCTAAAACACTAACATCATTTGAAAATGTGTTATTTTCCACATTATCACACTCATTTTCATCTGAAGATTTTGAATCAAATCGATTATAATCTTTGTTTGCTTCAGTCATCAATGGCTCCACATCTAGGGAATTCTCATTTTGACCAGATACTCTGATTTTCCCAAATTTTTTATGATGAACAACAGGATCGCTTGAAGTTTCAAAACAATTACTACTTATACAAATAGATGCATCATTTAAACTGTTGCCTGTTTCTGATTCAATCAAGTGTGAAGAATCATCTAAAATGGATTTATTCGATGGAAGGAGACCATTGACTTTTTCGTTTTTTTTTATTTTTCTACTTTGCCTAGCTGATTTTATGGAAGCTCCTCTTCTCCGCCTTGCCATTTTAAATTATTATGAAACCATTACCAGTTTTCAATTGCCTAAATAAAAGTAATAATCCTTTAAAGAATTCTATTTAGAATACAACAAAATTGAATAATAATAATAATAACATATTTCATTTTGAGTAAAATAATTAATTAAAATGTTTTTGCATAAGTTTGATTCTAAATAAATAAATTTTATATATTAGAATAAAATTATATAATTAATTTTTTAAGATAAAAACATAAGTAATTATTCAGTTAGAAGAAAAATTTAACTGTATAAAATTTCAAATTTTGATTAAAAACCCGAAATTTTAATTTCTAAAGTGTAACTCACCAATCAGTTCCTTGAAATTCATCCTGATAATTTTAATTATATTTAAACAATTTAAAAAACCAGCTCAAACCAGTAGCTGGGGAACAGGAAACCTGTAAAAACCATACTTTTGTAATCAAACTTATTTGTTTCATAATATGAACAGAATTTATTACTAGGTAAATGTTCAATTAATACCATTCTCAAATATTAAGATCCTTTAATTAAATTTTAAAACTGAATAATCAATATATTAGTCAATAAAATTTATAATTATAAAAGTTTTTATATGAATAATAAAAATACCTACTAATTTATTTTTCTAAATTATTTGAAAATTCATAAATTTAAAATATTTAGCACACTAAATTTATACAAATTGTTAACGCTAATTTTTTTTTTTTTTTCTTGATTTTTCGTACACTAGAAAACTAAACAAATTTAAGAAACTACTTAATACTCCATACTGAACAAAACAAATTAAGAACTCATCTCGTACAAGTTATTAATAAAAATAAGCTTTGGTAATAAATAACAACGATACATTTTTAAAAATGTTAAATTTGAATCTATAAGATTATACCGGAGCGCCATTTTATCTTTATGTCATGTCCGTTGTAAACCTAACTACAAAAATTTAGTCATACTGTTGGAACCCTATAAGACCCATCAACAAATTTTAAGAACAAATGCTTTATTTTCTTGAAAAGTTTAATTGATAACAAAAAGAAATGCTGGCAAATATTTTTATTATTCAGTTTTATGGCGTGGAAAGATTAACTGAAAAAAAAACTAATGTACCTTAAATCAGTTTATAATTATTTTATTCATAGTTTATGAAATAATTTTATTAATTACCTGGAAAAAGAAAATAGTAATTTTTCAGAAAACATTTGACTTTCAACAGCTCAAAGTGAAATTCTAAAAAATAAAAACACTGCCTTTAAACAATCATATTCACTTTCCTATCTTCCTCTCCCTCTCTCTTGCTCTTACTCTCCTTCATCTACTCTTTCTCACTCTCTCTCTCTCTCTCTCTCTCTCTCTCTCTCTCTCTCTCTTTTACTTACTCTTTCTCTTCCCAGTTACGTTAAAATATCAAAGCCTTCTTGAACAAAATTAATAAGTTATGCCGGCAGCAAAAAATAAAAACAAAATAAATGATCGAAATTTTTGCTATCTTTCAATAAACCCACAGCCTTTCATAATCGTTTATAAATAAAATGGTAGCCGGCTATTACATTGTTATTTAGACAAGTAGTGCACTGTCATTCAAGTAATTTCAAATTAAATAAGTAGAAAAAAATGTCTTCGGCGAGATATGACCGAGCCATCACGGTTTTTTCTCCGGATGGTCATTTGTTGCAGGTTGAATATGCCCAGGAAGCCGTTAGAAAAGGTTCAACTGCGGTACGATACTTTTAATAAATTTGTAACAATTTTAGGTTACTTTTTCGTAATGTTTATATACTATTGAGTATCACTACGAGTTAAAAATATTTCAGGTCGGGGTGAGAGGGCAAAACTGCGTAGTTTTAGGAGTAGAAAAGAAATCCGTCGCAAAGCTTCAGGAAGATAGAACCGTAAGAAAAATTTGTTTGTTAGACGATCATGTCGTAATGGCTTTTGCTGGTTTAACTGCCGATGCTAGAATTTTAATCAACAGAGCACAGATCGAGTGTCAATCTCATAAATTGACCGTCGAAGACCCAGTAACGTTAGAATATATTACTCGATACATAGCTAGTAAGAACGTAAAAATTTATATAGATAAAAACAAAAAAAGGGAAAAAAACGAAGTGTAATTAACCGTGATTTGTTATTTATTCCAGCGCTAAAGCAGAAATACACTCAAAGCAATGGTCGTAGACCTTTTGGAATCTCTTGCCTTGTGGCAGGGTTTGATTATGATGGAGCACCTCACCTGTTTCAAACAGAGCCTTCAGGGATTTTTTATGAATGGAAAGCAAATGCAACAGGAAGAAGTGCCAAAACTGTTAAAGAGTTTTTAGAAAAGTATTATGCAGATGAAGAAGTTGAAACGGAAAGCGGAGCTGTAAAATTAGCTATAAAAGCTTTACTGGAAGTTGTCCAATCAGGTCATAAAAATTTAGAAATTGCAGTTATGAGAAAAAATCAACCTATGAAAATGTTGACACCTGAAGAATTAGATTCTTATGTAACTGCCATTGAAAAAGAAAAAGAAGATGAAGCGGAGAAAAAGAAACAAAAAAAATTATAAATATCATCAACAAAAAAAAAAAAAAAAAACTTCTTCAGTGAACTCATTTTTAAACTTATTACAAACAGTGTATATCTTAAATGGAATAAAATCTATAAAATACATTTTACTGTTGTTTTAAAATAACTTTATTTAAATATTATTAAAATAATAAAGGTTTCTAATTGATAATTATTTTAAATTTTACCGTTGCTTTATTTTTGAAAAAACGTGATTTTTAACAAATTATTATTTTCAACTTTTCGTTTGAAAATATTTTATGCTTAATGATTTACAGATAAAACAAAATAAAAAAATTACTTCTTAGTTAAAGTATTTATAAACCAAGTTGAAAGTTTATCGAAGTAAATATATATGCCTTATTTGTAATATATATTATATAAATATTTTAAATTAATCGACCAACAATATTATTGATATATTTTTAAATTACTACAATCGATTGCATATTAACTATTATTTTAATAAAATATTTGAATTTTATTACTATACCATGGTAAAATTCAAATTATGTTTATTTTTTAAATATTCATTTATTAATATTAGAACACATTAAAATAATATTATTAAAATTTTTTTAAGGGGTCACGGCATGTAACTGTATTCTAAATTATTTGACATTCTATAAGTTTTAAATTGACGATATTTAAAAATAAATAATTAAATTAAAATTAAATCTTAGTTTATTATGAAATTACAATTCATTAATAATAAACTACAATCCTAAATAAGATGTGATGGAATCATAAAATTCTTCAACTGTGTTGGTCTCACACATATGTCTTCTTTCCAAATCACTGTTTGTGGTAACTTGTTTATCATCGGTGGTCGATGAATTGATGACAATCAAACACTCCGATGCTTGAGTTTCAACTTTTTGATTATTTTCTTCGTGAAATAATTCGGTTTCAAGCACTTTAGTGACGACGTTTTCCTAACAAAAAAAAAATGAATTATCCGTGAGCAAGCAATTTTTGGGTTATTACCAAAAAAATAAATGTATATATGTATTTACCACATTTTTTTCATCTGGACATCCGACCATCAAATCAATAACATAATTAGTACCGTCGAAACCTTTTTTAACTTGAACAGAATGATTTCCTCTTAAAACAGAAGTTTCATTAATGTCAACAAAATAATCTTTTTCAGTTTCACTTAATGATGAATGATCAAAAAAATGAAGTGTGTGATCTTCAGTAGCTAATGACGTCAGTTCTAGATCTTGGTTTTCAAATATATTTATATCTTCGATACTGAAATTACAATAATATTATTTTACATAAAAAAAAAAAAAAACCTAATCAAAATCCATCTTGTTTTTTGTTTTTTAATAATTTTTTACCTTGAATTTTCCGATTCGGTTCTAAAATCATGAAATTCGGGATTCATATCGATGTAATCGGTAAACTCGGAACTAACTTCAACCGTTAAATTTTTACGCGTTTCACCTTTTCCTACATCTTTTAAACTATTCTCTATTGGAATTACTTGAAAATTACATTCTTCGATCACTTGATCATTTTTTCCATCACCTGTAACTAAATAATTATATTTAATGTTTTAAAAAAAAACAAAAAAATTTCATTTACATAAATTCATTTTAAGAAAAAGAAAACCAACCGTTATTTTCAACAGCTACTATTTCTTTATTTTCCTGATGCATTCTTTCCCTTGATTTTTGAAGGGCTTTAGCAAAAGCTGCCTAAAAAACGGAAAAATTTTAATTTTAAATTATTAATTAATCGATAAAATTATTTGTGTATGACAAAAAAATGATATATTTACCCGACATAAATGAAGTCTCGACTGATTATGATATTCCAAATTTTGTACTACTCTTGTATTTTTTAATGGAGTCGGCCTTCTTTTAACGCTATCCAACAAATCACTCCTACCAAATCGAAAACAATTATGAAAAAATTCGTGAATATTACAACACCTAGAGGAATCGTTTTTAACTTGAGTTTGCATTTTTTTAAAACCATACATATTCAATTGTCGTACAAAACTTGTCATATTTCTCGTTTTGAATTTAGGTATTTCGCATTCCAAATATTGAGCTTGAAATAGATTATAATCAATTAATATTGTCTTCCCGTAAATTCCCCATTGTATCGCTCCCGTATTACATTCATTAACAATCCTCCACAATTTTTGTGGGAATTTTAATACGTAAAAATCTTCATCTCCCATTGATAGTATGTTACCTTTTTTTTTCGTATTACTTTCGTTATTATTTTTACAAGTCGCATACATGTCTAACAAATGTCAATACTATTTCCAATATTTCTTTTTATTCTGAATCGAGAATTTCAGAATCAGAATAACTTAACTAGTAAAACAAAAGAAAATCTAAACAACAATGGAAAGTTTGACGCCACTTTTTATCTACTCTATGGTAACCGTTTTTTTCAAAAAAAAAAAAAAAAAATTTTTTTTACATCTTTCTATCAATATTTATCAGAATATATATAGATTTAATTGATTTTATTTAAATAGGGAAATATATATATATATTTTTATAAAAAATATTTAAATTAAAATCACATTATATGCGAACCTTTAATAATAATAATAATAATGATGATAATTTAAATATAAATGTAACGCAAAACAAGTAAACAAAATTAACCAAAACCTTTACATACCATGTAATCCTATGACGAAAATATGATTGGAATATAAATTAATGTTTTAATTTTTTTATAATTTAATTAAAAATAAAAAAAAAATAAAAAAATAATGCGGTTAAAGAAAACATTTATTTAAAAGAATTGAATAATTTTAGAATAATTTTAAAATTTGAACTACAATATGAAATGATTTATTTTTAAAAAAAAAAAAAAAAATCGATGACCCAAGTGGCAGAAAATCTTCTTCATGTGCTACAACTTTTATATATATATATGATGGAATTTCCATTATTCACATTATTATTATCATTATTCAATACCAATGTCAGTTTTATTCATTTTATGTCTTTTTCTCTCAAAAACTTTTTCTTTGGCTTTCTCAGTTACAGTTTATACATAATTTCACTTTTCACTTGATTTTTAATAAATTTGATTATTTATTATATTTAATAAATTCTCTTGTCAATATTTTTTTCCCAAAAGATAAACTTCTCTGGGACTCTGGATCGTTGAAGATCACCCACCGGACAACAATGACAGGTCTCCCGTACACAGCAGTACAAAAAAACAAACTTCCTTTCATTCAGTTACTATTGATGACCCTGTAATAAATCTGATTAATACCGCTTCTTTCAACCTAAGTAAGCCATAAGGTAAATAAGGTGATAGTAAAAAAAAATTCCTCCCGGTAGAGTAAAAAAAAAAAGAATAAACTAATAATAATAATAAGAATAATATTAATAATGATAATAGTACTGGTAATAATAATAATTTTATTATTATTATTTTTTTCCTTTGTAATTTTTAAAACCCTATTGGTTATTGATTGATTGATTTGAACGAAAGAATTTTTAGAATAACCCAATAAGCCTCCCCATTTGTTAAAAAGAGTAATTTGTTAACGAGAAATAAAAAAAAAAAAAAAAAAAAAGACAAAAAAAAGTTAGTAAAAGAAATATTACTCGGAAAAAAAAAAAAAAAAAAAAAAAAAAACTGAAGAAAGCAAGAAAAAAGAAGAGGAAATAATAATTTTCAAGATTCTATGCAATTGATTAAGAACAGACCATAATTATTTAACAGGTTGACGTATGCGGACACGTGTGAACGCAGATTTCTTGAAAATATTCAAACGACTTTCTCCGACTACCATTTCTCAGAAAATTTGAGAAATATAATTTAAATACTGAAGATATTATTATTATTATTATTTTAAATTAATTTTTTCCAAAAAAAAAAACCCATTTTCCTTTTTTCTTTTGTTAAATTTTGGCAGGAGAATATTTCAGATAACTTTTCGAAAAAAAAGGCCGTAATTAAAAAAATTTTTTTTTTTTTTTTGATTGAATAATCATGACGTCAAAGGCATTTTTGAGGATTTTCCATCCTTTTTTTTTTTTTTTTTTTTTTTAAAAAAACGATTTTCAAGGGCCTCTCATCAATCATCGTTTTCTTCTTGTTGTTTTTTTTTTTTTTTATATATATATATATATATAAATTTCCTTTCATTTTTTAACACTCCTACTTCTAGAGCGAGACTTTGTTCTACGCCGTCTTTTGTCACAATTCCTTTTGTTTTGTTCCCTTTGCATTTTTCTTAATTCTGCTACCTTTTTTTCATGCTCTGCCATATGTTTACGTCGCATTTCTTCCTTGACTGAGATCTAAAAAAGAATCCAGTTATGTAAATCTACTATAAAATGGAGAGAAGAAAAAAAAAAAAAAAAAATTTAACTCGAGTCACCTGTTCCGGCGTGAGAGGTAACCAATAGATGCAAGGAGTGGCTTTTGTTTTACGAAATAAATCATCCAAAAGTTTAACCGGAGTTTCTTCTTCATTTTTTTTCTTTGTTTTTCGGGCTGATAATTAATAAAAAAAATTTTTTTTTTTTTAATAATTCACCATGCGAATAACAATAAGAGAAATTAAATATATATGTACGTCATTACTCACAAGGTTCTGCAGATGTACTCCTGCGATTTCTATCTTTGTCTCGTCTTCTTTTATCATCATAATCATCTCTTTTCTCTCTGTCATATTCTATCTTTCTTTCATATCTATCATCACGGTGTCGAGAAAATTCTAAACCGTCAGCGGGGGGAGAAAATCCATCTTCAGTTTTACCTACATCCCATTCTCGGACGGGCATCGTTACCTACATATTTGTAAATATAATAATAATAATAATTAGGAGAATTACTTTACTTATTGAATACATATAAAAAAAAACAAACCCTTCTAATGGTTCTATCCCGAACAAGGGGCTCAACGGGGGGACGCAATTTCCTGTCTTTATCATCGTCCTCATCTTCCTTTTTGTCGTCCACTCTGTATTTACTACGCTCTTTTTTGTCTTTTTCGTTTTTCTCTCGCTTTTCATTTATTTTCTCCTTATCTCTATCTCTTATTTTCTCATTGGTTTTCAACTCGATTTGCTTATCAAATAAGCTAGGAATGGGTCGTTTAGAAGCAATTTCGTTGCCTTCCATCGCTGCCTTTAGAGCTGCATCCGTACCAAAATCAACGTTTAGCTGCTTCGGATTCGACACAGGCCATCGTACGCCATGAAGAGCATGCCTTGTAGTTTTAGCCTGTTCTTCTGTTTCGTACTACGAGATAAATTTAATATTTGAAATAATTAAGCAGTTATTAATATTTAAAATTTTTTTTTTTTTTTTTTTTTTTTACCTTTACGTAGCATTTTGATTTAATTTTATCAATCCAAAATCCATCTTCCACGATAGTCCCGGTTCTGGCTAACAATTCCCTTAATTGAGGAATGGTAAAAGGTCGAACCAAATTAACAATGTAAAGAATATTCGAGGGCTTATGCCTTGGAGGACTGGGAGATTTTTGCAATTTTTCTTTTGAAGGCAAGACAGAAACTTTTCTTGTGAATGTCGTGAATTCTAAAGTGAAAAATTCATTAAAATTTTCAGTATTTAATCGAAGTAAAAAAAAAAAAAAAAAAAACCAAAAAAACTCACCTTTTTCTTTTGAAGGAGGAGCTGGTTGACTAACTTCTGCTTGAGTTACTTCATCTAATCCACTTTCAACTGCATCTTCTTCGTAATCCTTTTCACTTTCGTCACTTTGAATCATTTTTTCTCTTTCAACTTTTTTCGTACCTGTTGGTACATTTTCATCGCTGTCCTTTAATTGACCTTCTTCATCTTCTTCGTTAGGCGACAACTGAACTTCACTTAGTAAAAGCGGCTTAACTTCTGGAATAATTTCTTTGAGAAAATCAGTTGATATAGATACTGATGCTTTCTTACTAGTTTTGTTGGTACTGGAACCCCATCTCCGCTTCCTAGCACCTGATTTTATTGTAGTATTTTCTTCAAAATTATCCTGCAAATTATAATTAAGTTAAACAAAAAAAAAAAAAAAAAAAATTTGCAATAAGTCAATAAGTGCAATTCCTGAATTAAAATAACTACTTACCTTGTGATTTTTTTCAGTGGTTACTACATTTTTAGTAGAAATTTTTGTTTCATTCTGAATCCTAAAAAAAAAAATAAAAATTTGGTTTTGTAAATCATAAGAGCTAAATCTTAATTATATTTAACACTAAAGTGCAAATCAAGTACTTACTCCGCTTTAGCATTATTTTCAACCTTTGCATTCTGTGTAGTTGATGATTTTTCTCCTTCTTCTGCTTCCACTTCTTCTTTTTCTGGCCCTTTTTTCTTATTTTTGTTCCTAATTTAATTTTAAATTTAAAAAATTAAATGTATTTTACATTATTTAACAACTTAATTAATTTCAAATTGAGGTATTTTATATCTTACCTTGAAAGTAACGCTGCTTCTTTAGCCCTTTCTTCGGATGAATCTCTTGATGGTGATCTTTTCTTTTGAGCAGGGATTGATTCTGGTACAGAATCTGCCTTCTCTTCAACTTCGGTTTTTGATTCGTTATCTTCTATAATTTTAGGCGTTTCCTTTATGTCGTTTTGAACACTGTTTTCAGCTTCAATTTTTGTTTCATTTTTGGAATTTAGTATAGATTTCTCATCACACTTAGATTCAATAATGGTTTCTTGATTTATACTATCTTCTGGTTTTAATTCAGGTTGCTTTTCTACTTCAGGTTCTTTTGATGAATTCAATGTTTCCTGTTCACTTGTATGCAGAATTAACTCTTCTTTACCTTGGTCATTTTCAGTTGGAGTATCTACAGTATGCTGTTTATCAGTAGTTAATACCTCCTGAGGAGTGTGATCAATATGAGATACAATCTGATCATTTTCTTTTTTATTTTCTTCAGAATCATCATCTTTCGGCCCACTACTCTCTTTTTTTTCATTAAATTCAGCAACTGATATAGATTCAACTGCCATTCGTGTTTCATCATCTTCTACATTTTGTCTGAAACTATAAGTTTCATCTGTTTCCTTTTTAGGTTCTAATTCAACCTTTACTGGCTGCTTGAGTTCAGTTGAAACCTTTGCTTGTGATTCGAGGAAATTTTTCTCTGCATTAATCATCTCTGCTTCTTGAATTTCTCTAAATTTTTGATTTCGAGTAACTCTTTTAGAACATTCCTCTACAACATTTTCATCAACTTGTTCTTCTTCTTTTGAAGGAGTGATGTTCCTTCCTCTGAAAAAAATTGATAAATTTGTCATTATTAACTTTTAATGTAAACTCAATTTAAAATTAGTATTCAAGTTAGACTTAAAGAAATTTAAATGACCTTCTCTTCCTTCGAGGACTTGGATTTTGATCAGAAGTAGATGTAGGAGATGACATTTCAGGAGGCCTTGTCAAACATAATTTCAGTTTAGGTATGCCTCCACTTCCACCATTTTCACTTTTTACTTTCCATGATCCATCAGAACCACCTGATTCCTCTTCCTTTAATATGGATCTTTGATCTTCAATTCCTTTCTGAGACTCGAGTTGGGAAGTACCATCTTTAAAATTTTCATTTTCCTGTAAAAAGAAAAAATGTTAAAAAAAACAATTTTATAAAGACATTTGTTTAAATATCATACTGATTTAGAAAATTATAAAAATTCTTTTTATTTTAAGAAATTAAAGGATTTAAAAAACATTTAATAATGTACTAATACAAATAAAACGAATAATAATAGTATTACATGATTATACTTTTATAAAAAATTATGTTAATAATAAGATTGTTAAAAAATAGAAATTTAATTTCTAAATTTTTAATTAATCTGTATAGTTTTTATGAGTCATTAAAAAAAATTTGACTTAATGTAAATGAATTATAGAAAAACAAATTAATTGTGACATGAATTCGTGGGAATTTTTTAAAACCTAAATACAGAAATTAATTAACAAATATATAATTGCATGCCTCATTCTTATCTGGTTTTTTAAGCTTTCCTAAATTCTCAGATTGCTCATCACCAGAATAATCGGAATCAACTTCTGCCCTTTCTGGAGACTCTGATTTTTTGCTTCTTTTACTTCTTCTAGTTAGTTTTCTAGAATATTTGTGAGGACTTTCAGATTTTTTAGTAGCTGCGGTCCTTCCCTTGGCGCTTCTTCTTCTATTTGTCATTTTTAAAAAATACCTATGAAAACAATGAATAAAATTTTTCTTTATTATAATACTTTTAATAAATAAGTAATTTAGATAACTTCTGAAAATTTTTACTAAACTATTTTTTAAAAAATAATCAAGTGTAACGTAATTTAAAAATAACATTTAGCTGTAAATATAAACCACCAAATATTAATATTATAAAAAACAAGCCGATGATTCTATAATGCTGTTTGAATAATTAAATCTGATCATTGAATATCCCTACAGTATAATACGCCCTAAAGTTACAAATAAAATTAAAAGTACATTTCCATATTAATTTCGTTGGGAAACTGATTGTTAATAATTTATTAGACAAAACCTCATTTCAAACATTTTGATATAATAAATGTTAAAAACCTTACGTACTGGGAATAAAAAATGCGATAGACGAAACGTTTTCTAACTTGCTACCAATAATGGTTACAGCTTAAGCTTTTTCCGCCAATTTTTAATGTTACCATTTGATACAAAAAGAAAGTGCAAAGTAAGTCTTTTTTTACTGTTTTTAAAGGATATTTTATAACATTTTTAAAACGCGTTTTATTCACTAGTACCATTTACCTCGGCTTTTATAGACGACGCATTCCACTTTTTTGCTACCCGAAGTTTTGCGGTCTGTAAGAATTCTATTGATGGTGGCTTACTAGTTCGTTGTAGTGGATCTGAAATTGAAACAAAATGGTATATTTTATCTAAATCAATCTTATTATATATGTTTAATTATAATGTTTTTATCAGTCGAATTTTTTTTGCTTTTTCAATAATTTTTTTAGCTATTATTTTTATAATTGATGTTTTATTGTAGTTTTGTAAATTAATTTTTTTGCAGTCACTCGTAATTCCAGACAAGTTTCAACACATTTTGCGTATTATGAACACAAATATAGATGGAAAAAGAAAAGTTATGTTTGCAATGACTTCAATTAAAGGTGTTGGTAGAAGATTTGCTAATATCGTTCTTAAAAAAGCCGACATTGATCTTGACAAAAGAGCTGGCGAATGTTCTGAGGAAGAGGTTAGTTAGTCTTAATAATAGATAAATTTGGATACAATTCATGTTATAATTTTGATTAAAAATGTTAAAATTATTTTCAATCTAGCCATTAATTAGTATTATCTCATGATATTAAATCAAATAGTTTTTAATTTCTCTTACGTGAAAATTCTTGAAAGAACTGAAAATTTTTTTCTAAACGTCACTAGCATATTTTAAATAGAAGTTTAAGTTATTTATCTAATCAGTTCGGTTTCTATAATTAAAAGTGAATTTTTTTTTTAAAGATATAAATTTAAAAAAACTTTAAAATAATAATTTTTTAAAAACAATTTCAGGTAGACAAAATAATTACCGTTTTAACTAATCCAAGGCAGTACAAAATTCCAGATTGGTTTCTTAATAGGCAAAAAGATATTCAAGATGGAAAATATTCACAGGTATTTTGTAAATTTAATTTCTCACCTTAGTAAATTAACTTTTTTATTTTATGAAGGCTTATTAAAAAGCACAGAGACGGTACTATCAAAAATACCTATTTGATAGTTATTGGTAGCCTGTGCAAAATTAATTCTTTAAAATTCAGCATATAATTCCTTATAATTATATTGCAGAATTATAAGAAACAATTTATTTATTCAATTACACTTGACTGACAAGATTTTTTGTCATTAATGTTATAAATTTTTTATTTAGCTAACATCTACAAATTTAGACAGCAAACTTCGTGAGGATTTGGAAAGATTAAAAAAAATTAAAGCTCACAGAGGAATGAGACATTATTGGGGCCTTCGTGTTCGTGGTCAACATACCAAAACCACAGGAAGAAGAGGTAGAACTGTGGGAGTGTCTAAAAAGAAATAATTTTATGCAATAATAAAAATAAACTATTTCATTTCAGAATGTCTATTTTTATTTTTTATTTTTTTTTATTTCATATATAAGTTTTATTACATTTCTCATAAAATCATATTAAAGTTAATTAGCTTTTAAAATTCATACATCTCTATTCCTTTATGAAAATTTAAATACCTTTTTTTTTTTTTTTTTTCGATTAATTATTGCAGCATAAGAAATAATTAAATTATTTTAAAAGTATTGACTAGAAAATTCAAAATCTATTTAAAATTATATTTATATATATATAAATATATATATTTAAAAGCCTATTAAATTTTAACAAGTTTGAAAAATACTTAAAATTAGAATAATAATAATGATATATCAAACTTGAAGCAATATAAAATCAAACACGCGAACGTCGTATACTCTTAAATAAATAAACGCATAACTTCTATGAATAATAATAATAATAAACTTTAACGTAATTACAATTAAATAAAGAACTAAGCCTAAATTAGTTCATATTCATTTTTAAGTAATTAACAATTTCATTTGAGCGAATAAAATAAAATTATTAAATTGAGTTTTTAAAAAATTTTCTTACAAATACCAAACTTGGTATATAACAAACGACAAATAAACTTGAACCTTAGTACCTGGAAACACTATCTTTTTAATTTTTTCACATTAAAAAAGTTCAAGAATTGACTTTGGAACTTTTCCTTTTTGACTACCTCTTTCTCCTAAAAAAAAATCTGAATCTGTATCCGATAATTCCCGAACTATAATAACCTAAAACAAAACAATAATAATAATTAAATTACATTTTTTTAAAATATGACTGGGGCCTTAAAAGAATTTCATTATAAACATACAAATTATGAGAACAAACCTCATCTTCTAAAAGGCTTAGTTCTGTAGAATCCTTAGCATTATAATTTGATTTCACAAGAGCTTTGCGAGGTGGATTAGTTTTGGTTACATTTTCTGTAGCACAAGGAAGAGCAGAGAATGATGGAGCTCCAGCATTAAGCAAGGATAAACTAATAATAATAAAATTAAATCCTTTAGTTTCATTTTTTTTTACCTTAAATAATGTGATCAGTAATTATGGTAAAAACTGTGATGACAAGAAAATTTTTGATAAATTATTTGCTATCCATCACTAATTTTCATATTACAACAAACTACCATAATGAGAATGAAACTTATAAAAAACATATTGCCTTTATTATTATGAACTTAAATAATTTCTACTTGTATTAAGAATTGTAATAAAAAACAAACTTACCTAGTTAAGTCTCTCTGCAAATCTTGCATTACTTGATGACATTTTTCATAATATCGAACTTGAGATTCCACAAATTCTTGAAGACATCTTAAATGATTGGAGTGTGAACTGTTAATTCCTTCTAGCAACAACTTTGTTATTTCAAATTGTCTATCAAATTCAGATTGAGCCATTCTAAGATCTCTTTCTGCCTGTGAGTGAAAATAAAATTTTTTAAACAAAAATAAAATAATAAATTTAATATTATAACAATTATACTCATCTTTTCCCTTTTTTAATCATACAATAAATTGTTAAAAAAAAAAAAAAGTTTTTTTTTTATCATAAGTAATTTACCCTAATAAACTATTTGTTAATACTTTTGTAATAGAAAAAAAAAAAAAAAAATTGATATTTCACAAGAATTATACCTGTTCCAATAAAATCTCAGGGTTTTCTCCATCCTTCTGCAGGGGCAATTAAAAATAGCAAACATAAAATTAGAGAGTAGATTACTATCTTTAAATGTTTATTAATTAACTTGTTTCTTATAATGTATGATTTATAAAGCAGGTAATGGACTTACTGATTGCACATTTTGCAAACTTCTTGCCTTTCTTACTTTGCTCTTGCATGAATCTAAGTCCAACCTAGAATATAATCAAACCTATTGTGAACATAATAAATATAATTTTTTTTTAATTTTCAATAAATTTTTTACAAACCTTAAATTTTCAAGAATTTTCCTTTCTTTTTGAATTGTTTTCATTTCACCATCTAAAAATTTTTTTAATGGATTTATAAAGCAATTTTCAGCCGAAGCGATAAAATCTCTCTTGGTTTGTCCTAGTCTTTGTTCACATTGACCAACCTTAATTAAGGTGCTCCCTTAAATAATGAAATGTTCACTTTATTTTTACAAGTTGAAACTTTTTTTTTTAAGTTTAAAATTTTCAAATATTTTCAACAATATACCATATGCTGTTCCTGGTCCAAAATCATTTCCTGCTTCTATCATAGATATTCCTAAATACTCTAAATCACTAAAACGATTTGTTTTAATTGATTTTTCCATTTTGTCCATAAAAAAATTCTCAACACTTTTGCCGACAGTAGGATTTAAAACAGCTTCTAAATTGCCCACTATTTTTGAAGTCCATAAATTTGTGGCATTTGATCTTTCCGCTAAATGTTCAAAATGCGCATCTAATTTAGTTTTTTCTGATGAACCAAATACTTCTTCAGTTAACTGTGTGTGTGTGTGTAAAAGTTAAAGTAAAAACTTTTTTAAGAGTTTTAAAGTGATTTATTATTTTTAGCAAAACGATAATAATAAAAATTAAAGTATAATTTTTAAAAAATAATGGATTTTCTTACCTGAACAACTCTATTAAACGTTGTGCTGGCATCTTTGACTAGCTTTTTAACGTTAAAATCCATTTTTAATTTTCTTTTCTTTTCCTAATATCGATCTTGGTTCACCGCCTTTTTAAAACAATTAACTTTTATTAAACGACATTTGACACGTGCAAGTTTTGCTGTAATAGAATTAAAGTTTAAACTTATTTAATGTTTTATTTTTAAAATAAAATTATTTAAAACGTTTATTTTAATATTTTAATTAAAAAGATTTCTTTTTTTAAAAATATAATTGTCTAACAATTTATCTTTATTAAGGTTAAATACAATTTAAATAACTATAAAATATTATTGACTGGACAATTTTTTTTAAAAAATGTTTTATTAGTGTATAAAATATATATTTGGTTAATGCCCAAAAGTAAACAATAAAAATTTACTTACCCGCGACGTTAGTGATATTCTTATAGATTAAATTATAATGTAACAGGTTATTTTAATATTTAATAATGACAAATTTATCTAAGAAACCGCAAGATTTTAATATTTTTGTGGCCGGAAAGACTGGTGCTTTCAAAGGTAAAATAATATCGTTACAAAAGTCGATAAGTTTATTATTTGGTGTCAATTGTCAGATAATTACAATTAATCATTATTATCAATATGAAAATATTGTAATGTAACCTCATGTTAATAATTTAAACTAAAAATTTAAAATATTTCATCAAAAATTTTTCACAGGTATTAAAGTAGAAGAAAATGCTGCCGTTGTAAAAAATTTGCAAAATGTTGAAATTTTAAAACCAGATAGTGAAATTTCAATTTTAAACTGGGGTGATAATAATGAAACAGAAATTTTAATTGGAACTGTTAATCAAATAGTTAAAATCTATGATATAGATTTTAAAGCTTATAGTACATCAATGGAAGCAAAATTTGGCACTGGTTCTATAGTCGGCTTAACAAGGATCAACGGGTAAAAATATTCCAAAAACGTCAAAAAATTTTGTATTGAAATTTTGCTTAGTTATTAATTTATTTAAATGTACCTTAAATACTTCAGATCAATTACTACTTGTTCAAAATCAGGGCATATTAAAATTTGGAAATGTAAAAAAACAGAAGAATTAGAACTTATTACCGAAGGAAATGTAAGCAAAATGAAAAAATGTCCCAATAGAGATGGAATTATAGGACTTGGAGGTGAAAAAAATGATTTAAAATTATGGGATGTAAATAAAAAATGTAAAGTTTTTTGTGCCAAAAATGTGAAAAAGGATAGTCTAGAATTGGAAATTCCTATTTGGGTCACAGATCTGACATTTTTACCTAATAATGAAAATCTTGTCGCTGTTTCTACTCGACATGGACATGTAATTCGTTTTATATTTTTTATAAATTTACATTATTTCAATTATTGTTTTTACTATTGACCTATTATTTATTCTTTGTTTATTGATACTTTTATTTTTTAATATGACTTTAATTTTGTGTGTGTGTGTGTGTGTGTGTTTATTTATTTTAGATTCGTTTATATGACACTAAAGCTCAAAGAAGACCTGTGGTAAATATAACTGTAGAAAACCAATCATTTAATGCTATTAGCTTATGTAACAACAACAAGTAAGTTATTACTTTATTAATTATTATTATCTATGTTAACAATATTTTTATTTTAAAAATTATTTAATAAATTTCAGTCAAGTAGTAGTTGGGAGTACGACAGGTCATTTAATGGTAGCAGATTTTAGAGAGAAAAAAGTTGTTCATAGATATAAAGGACCTATCGGTAGTATTAGAGATGTTTATGCTCATTCAGAATTGCCTTATTTTGCAAGTGTGGGACTTGATAGGTATCTTAGAATTCATCATTTAGAAACCAGAAGATTATTACATGAAGTGAGTTAATTAAAAATAAAAAGGATAATAATTTAATTAATTGTGAAGCCCTTTTTTTTTTCTAAATGCAAGCTCTTAATTTTTCAGCAATATCTTAAAGTGAGGTTGAATTGCGTACTAATGACATCTGCTTATGGAAAAAATTCAGACATTAACGAAGACCAAAATATAGAATGTGTTGATCTTGAAAGTGACAATGAGTACAATGAACTTTTTTCTAATATGGAAAGTTTTACATAAAGAAAAAATAAAAATAAAATAAATATTAATGAATTTTGTAAAAATTTGAAATTATTTACACTTCCTTAAATTAAGTATTATATTTTCATTTATATTTGACAAATGGAAATATCTTTAGTGATTTCAGTATCTACATCAATGTTTACTGATAATAAAGCATCTTTAATCCATTGTGGAATATTTTTATCCGGGTAATTAAGAGCTAGGAAAGAACAAATAAATTTAGGGAAAGTATTGTTTATAATGCATTCTCTTATTTTTTTCATAAATCTTATCTGGAATAAAAATTTTAAATTTAGTGGGGAAAAAAAATATATATATAGAAATTTCTACAGTATTTTTTTTTTTTTTATTAAAATAGATAAGAAATTAAAACTTACCTGAAAGGCTATATTGTGAATACTTATAAGATGACATCCGACAGTTTCTTGAGTAACAATTGCATTCAAATAAGCTCTTGTATATCGTCGACATGTCAAGCAAGAACAGTCTTTTTCTATCGGATTAAAATCATTTTCATATTTGCTTTTTTTTAAATTGAGTCTTCCTTTTAATGTTAACGCGTTGCCAAACCTCTGAAAAAAAAAAATTTTTTTAATTAAATTTATATACTTGAGACTTTTTAACATTATATAATTCGAATGTTTAAAATGACAATAAATTTATTTTCAATATCAAAGATTTATAGAACAAAATTTACATAAAATTGAATTCAATTTTGTTATTTAAATTTTGATAATTGCATGAATTAGTGCAATATGTAAAAAATAGTAAAAATCTCGTGGATTGACAAAAACTTTTGTATATAAAATCATGTAAATTTCAAAAATATTTAAAATCAGTTTTTTTTTTATTCTACCAAAATTTTAAATGCAATATTTCTGAAACAATCAAATAATAATTTCTTACAGCTGTTCTAGTAGGGTGTACACAATCAAACATATCAACACCAAGAGCACAACAAATAAGCATGTCTTCAGCGAAACCAACTCCCATTAAATACCTAGGCTTTTCTTTGGGTAAATAATCTGTCGATAAATTAACCATTTTCCAAAAATCTTCTTTTGCTTCACCACCACTGAAAAAAAAAAAAAAAAAAAATAGTAATCAAGTGATTATTTTAATAACAGCAATTATGTTTTCAAACATGTTTATTTATAATTTTAAATCAGATAGAAATACTATTCATTTAATAACTTAACATATATAAATACCTTAAACCGCCAATCGCAAAGCCGGATACATTTCTATCAGTTTGTAAGCTGACACTTTTCATTCTTAATTCTGGTTGAAGTCCACCTTGAATAATAGGAAATATATTTTGATCATGAGGTCTGGTGTGAACTTTTAAACATCTATCTAACCATCTTGTAGTTCTATACATTGCTTCTTCAACTCTAGGCCCACTCACCTTAGAACTCACAACATCATCAAGTTGCATTGCAATATCAGCTCCCAAATCATTTTGAATTAATATCGAATGCTCAGGAGTTAGCATACATTCAGACTCTAAATAATATAAATTTAAATGTTGATTTATATGAACTGTCAATTTAAATAAAGTAATATTAAAAATAAAAAACCTTCATATGGAGATTTAAATTTTACTCCCTCTTCTGTAATTTCTGCTAATTTTAAAAGTGATACCATTTGAAATCCACCAGAATCGGTTAATATAGCATTTTTCCATCCCATAAATTTATGTAAACCTCCTGCCGACTTAACAACTTTAGCACCCTGACGTAATTATAAATTATATATAACACCAATATTTATCAAGCAAAAAATAAAAATTATGACTTATGATGTAGCAGATTGCGTAATGAAAATAAAACTTACTGGTCTTGTACCCAAGTGATAAGTATTTCCTAAAATGATTTTACAATCTAATGTTTCTAACTGCTCTGGAAGAAGACCTTTAACGGTACCTTGAGTTCCAACAGGCATAAATACTGGAGTATCAACATCTGCATGAGGTAATTTCAAAATTCCTACTCTAGCCTTAGTTGTTTTACACTCAGCAATAATTTCAAATGAAAGTGGAGGCTTTTTCATTTTAAAAAATTCCAATAAATTGAAATACTTTTTTAACGCCTTATTACGATTAGTTTACCACAATTGAACGTGGAATTAGAATCTGTTCAAAAATATATATTTTGCAAAAAATTCAACAGTAACTAATCTCTAATTTTTTTTCTTAATTTTAATTTTTGATTTTATTAAAAAATTAAAAAACTGCAAATGCCTTAATGCGGTTTTGCATTAGATCCGTCGGTTTATTAACAAGAAGTTTTTTTTATACAAGAAATACAAACTTTGTATATTTATATACATCGTAAATCATAAATAGGAAAAATACTTCTTTCAAATGTTGTAAAAAAAAACACACCAAAGAAAATATAAAATATTTTATTAAAATTCAATTTTAAAAGAAACCTATTAAATGCCAGTTAAAAAAAATTCTTTCATTTCAAATTAGCCTAGTAAAAGTTTCCTTTTAATGATTGTTCTTCTAAATAATAGTAAAAAAAGATGTTACCATTTAAAAGGCTTGTATTAAGTTATCTTATTCTTCTTTGCCACCAATAATGGTAGTTATTATTAGAAAACAGATGTCATTGGGATTTCATAGAAACCAATTTACGAGATCGAGCACGAGCTTCCTGACGACTATTTGTATATTCAAACCACAATACATTAGGAATTAGTGTAGTATCTCTTAAAAGTAAAAATTCCGATATTTTCCTACAAAAAGATTTTTTCCAAAATTATTGTACATATATACAAACATATTTTTAATAATAAAGTTCTTGTTTAAAAAAAAAAAATGAAAAACACAAATGCATGTCCGTTACAAAAATTTATGTACTTTGATAGATTGCATTTTGATAATTTATGCATAAAAGACATTGAATTTATACATATTAGTTATATAATTTTATTATGAAAATGTTTATAAGAATGCATTGTATCTTACCACGATGCTATTGTTGGATATAAAGGAGTAAAAACAACAAATGTTGCAGCAAACCAAATTGAAGCAAAAATAAAACCAACAACTATTCCAGTTAAAACTTGATTCCAAGTATGGTATTGCAAATAAATTCTAGAATAAGTAACTATACTAGCAGCTAAAAGGCACACTGTGGTAAGAACCCCCCTCCAGACAGTTTCCAAAGATGTTTTATTGTTCATGTGTTGCAACCTAAACATAAAACATTTAAATATGAATCATGAAAGCATGTATAAACAATAATTTCAATTCATGTAGACCTTACCTAATGAATATAAAGTATACTATATAAGTTGTAAAAAACCACATAAACTGACTGTGAGAGGATGGCATTCCATACTCTGTATATAAAGAATTCCTGGCTAAGGGTCTAGCTTCACAAAAAATATGTTTCAAAATTACATTAATTAATTCATTGAATATTGTCCCAATAAAAAAAGATATCTGAAAGACAAAAGTGTTTTTTTAACTCAATAATTGTACAAAACACTGTACTGTACATATACTTAATAAAAACTACATAACAAGTATTGTATTACAAAAAGTTAGCTTTTACATAAATGATTTTGATAGTGCTTTATTAAAAATAAAATATTATTTAAACTGCACAAAAAATATATATGTTCATAAATACCGTATGTAAATCTCGCCTAAATAAAATTAATGCTATAAAACCTGAAATAATACTAAATGGAAGTAAACTTGCTAAGGCCAGAAATCTTCCTAGCCAATCACCTGTAAATAAAACCTTTAAAATACTAATTCCATTCTTAATAAAAATTTATTTATTAATTGAATTATTAGTCAAGTAAGAACGTAATTTTTAGAAATAATTTACTTACCCTTAGGATATTCTACAACTGTCAAAGAAAGAGGTACCCATTCATATTCTGATTCAGTTTCTACATTTTTCGGCAAATTACAATACTTTATGTTGTCTTCTAACGCCATATTTTTATATCGTGGAATTAAATATTCTAAATACCCGACTTTCGAAATAGAGCGATCAAAATATTTGATTTTGTATTTCGACCCTTATGAAGTATAAACTCTAATATTATTGGCAGGTGAAGTACTTCATTCAATAATAATTTTTAATTTTAAATGTAACATTATTTAAATTAAATAAAGCTTTTAGTTTTTGTTTTCATTGTACTATGCATTGTTTGTACTATTCATAACCTGATTTGTAATTACCTTTCAAAATACAGATTTGAAAATTGCTCCCTGCCGTCTACAGAAAAACATGGCGGCCGGTGGGGATTTTAGTGAATTCGATACTTGGTTAAATAATAAATTATTAGCTTGTAATACGGACGAAGGAGTGTTTGGTTCGTATATCAAGGGAATATTAGAAGGAGAAGAATCCTTAGATGACAAAACTCAAGCACTGACAGAAATTTTATCAGAAATTACGGTAATAATGTTAACGAGTGAAGAATTTAAATTCTCCTTTTTGTTAATATTAACGGTTTTCATTCAATAACACTTCATCCTTATTTCTTTTTAAAACTCGTTATTTTAAAATTTATAGAAATAAATTACATTTTCTAATTCATAAAATTTTGATTTTTGAGAGAAAAAAAAAAGAAAAAATTGAGAAATATAATAAAACAAAATTTTTAAAATTTACCTTGTTTTAGAATGAAAATATAACAAAACTTTGTCAAGAAATTTTGGAAAAGTGGAGTCTTTTCAATACCAAAGATGAAAATGTTCAAGGTACTATATTAAAAGTTTCTGAAGATATGGATGTTAGGCTTGCTAAATTAATGGAAAGTCAAGCAAAACCAACAATAGTTACTCGAAATAATTATACTGATGAAGAAAAAAGAATAAGAGATGCAATTTTACAACAATATGGTCAAATGTCTGATGACGAAAATGATAAAGATGAAGAAGAAGGGGAAAATGGAAGTGAAAATAGCATAGTAAAAAATATTAATGTTGCTGCAGTAAAACAAGCAGAAAAAGAAAAAAGAGAAAAAGCAAAAATTGACAGCCAAAAGAAAAAGGAAAAAGACAAGGAAGATAGGTAAATTTTTTTTTTTTTTTCACAATAGTAGATTTTGTCAACACATTATTAAAATGTTTGTCAAATTTGTCAAAACTGTCAATTTTTTTTGTGTTTAGGGAAAAACAAAAGCAAATGGCACAAGAAAAGAAAGAAAAAAGAAAAACACAAAAAGGTGAACGAAGAAGGTAGCTAAGACCTTTGTGGAAATCTAAATGTCAATATATCATTTATGACCATAAGTTACTATTTATGAATTTATTTGTGAATTACATGAATAGATATGTATTTTTATCAATTTGTCTATATGGAAGGTAGCATACCAAAGCTTGATTTTTTTTTTTTTAAACATTATACTATGTGCGAAAAAAATTCAATAGTTGTCAAATAACCAAAAATCGTAAAATCAAAAAGTTAACAACCATAAGAGAGTACATTGGTTATGAAATCTTTAAACATGATGATGATGATTCTTACTTCCTCTTTTGGTTACATTTCCCTTGAAATTAAGCAACAAAAAAAGTATTTCAAACAATCATTTATGTGATGTATATGTGTATTACCTGATATGTAATGAACACTTAGTATTTCACCATTATCACAGTATATATAAATATAATGTGCATATTTCATTGTTTAATAAATAAAATTTCGATTTCAACAAAAAGTTATTAATTATTTTAAATTAAATTTTTCAAACTAATAAATCATTAAACATTTTTTTTTCTTAAACTAGAAGCAATTTTATTTTATATAAGGCTTTGATTAAGGCCATTACATATGCTTTTAAAATAAAATGATTAATTATCATATCCAATTTTCATCACAAAATGATTCGAACGATAAGCTACAAGTTCGTTTTTAAAAAAATAAATCATTTTCAACTACGATAAAAACTTACAAAAATTTGATGATATGCATTTAATGCAGAGAGACAAAATTATAAATAATAAATTTGGTATATTAAAATAATAATAAGTAAATCTAACTCATTCATAAAAAAAATAATTATTATAGCAAACCACTTACCTTTGTGACATTAACATCACTCCAATGTGGTAAAAAAAAAAAAAAAAGTACAGATTAGATGTAGAAAAATAATGTTATCTCACTCAGCATTTAGATGATAATAAAGATCACTGCCAAATTTTCAGTTGGAAGACAAAAATTTGGTTGTACAATGATTCATTTAAAATTTGTAACAGATTTAATTTGTTATTGTACAAAGGAAGTTCATATTTTTTTTTGTTTCTTTTTCTCCGCTTCGTCTTCTTTTTCTTTTTCAATGGCAGTTACATAAGAATCTAATTCTTCAGGTGTCAACATTTTCATAGGTTGATTTTTTCTCATAACTGCAATTTCTAAATTTTTATGACCTGATTGGACAACTTCCAGTAAAGCTTTTATAGCTAATTTTACAGCTCCGCTTTCCGTTTGAACTTCTTCATCTGCATAATACTTTTCTAAAAACTCTTTAACAGTTTTGGCACTTCTTCCTGTTGCATTTGCTTTCCATTCATAAAAAATCCCTGAAGGCTCTGTTTGAAACAGGTGAGGTGCTCCATCATAATCAAACCCTGCCACAAGGCAAGAGATTCCAAAAGGTCTACGACCATTGCTTTGAGTGTATTTCTGCTTTAGCGCTGGAATAAATAACAAATCATGGTTAATTACACATAGTTCTTTTCCCTTTTTTTGTTTTTATCTATATAAATTTTACGTTCTTACTAGCTATGTATCGAGTAATATATTCTAACGTTACTGGGTCTTCGACGGTCAATTTATGAGATTGACACTCGATCTGTGCTCTGTTGATTAAAATTCTAGCATCGGCAGTTAAACCAGCAAAAGCCATTACGACATGATCGTCTAACAAACAAATTTTTCTCACTGTCCTATCTTCCTGAAGCTTTGCGACGGATTTCTTTTCTACTCCTAAAACTACGCAGTTTTGCCCTCTCACTCCGACCTGAAATATTTTTAACTCGTAGTGATACTCAATACTATATAAACATTACAAAAAAAGTAACCTAAAATTGTTAGAAATATTTTAAAAATAACTTACCGCAGTTGAACCTTTTCTAACGGCTTCCTGAGCGTATTCAACCTGTAATAAATGACCATCTGGAGAAAAAACCGTGATGGCTCGATCGTATCTCGCCGAAGACATTTTTTTTTTTTACTTATTTAATGCACAATAACTTGAATGACAGTGCAGTACTTGTCTAAATAACAAAGTAACGACCGGCCGCCATCATTCTTATAATTGTTATGAGAAGGCGGTGAGGTCGCCACTTTGCAACTGCATACATTAAAAAAAAAAATTTTTTTTTCATGACTTGTTTAATTTTATGGCGGTTTGATTTATATACATTTTTACTTTTATTTTAAAAAAATTTTAAATTTATTTACATTTAAAAATATAAGTGCAATTAAATTGGCAATTTAGTTTAGAAATTGAATGACATCAAGGTAAGAAAAAAATATATATATATTAAATTTAAATAATAATAAAATTTATGATGAAATTTTATTGCAATAGTACAGAAACATAATTTTCTTAAAGTTTTTTTTTAAAATTATCATTAGTAAGTCTCTCAAAAATAAAGAGATTCGATCATTAAAATAATAATAATAATAATAATAATAATAACAATAAACATTGATTTAGCTATTGATAAAAACAAATAATTAAATAAGTACAAATTATATGAAATACATGTTAAATAATATAATAATTATTACAAAAATTCTATTCGAATAAAATCTTTTCATAATAATCTATCAGTTGTTGTGTGTTTGTTTTAAAAAAAAAACATAATTGAATAATTATTTTCAATTACAAAAAAAAATTAAAATAAATATATATATGTTTAGATTTAAGTGTTAAAAATGCAAATTTTATATGGAAGTGTGCATATTGTTATTATTATTCGTAGTAAAACATAATTAACATTTAAAAATTTGTTATTATTTACATTGTAATTTTTTACAATTAACTATTTCCCAATTTGTAATAATGTAATTTTCAACAAAATACATAAACATATAAAATAAATATTAATAAACAATTCATAATTTTCTTATTTCGTTTTTTCGAATGTAAGGCTATTGTTACATTAAAAAAATTTTTTTTTTTATAAACTTATTCGAGGCTTTCAAAGTTAAAAAGTTTTAACATTTCGATTGATCACATTAGGTAACCTATCATAAACGATAATAAAATTAAAATCAATTTTTTGATAATGATAACAACACAAAATGTTTAAAAAAAAAATTTTATTATTAATTGTAAACTTTCTTTTTAACGAAAAGATTACTCTGATTGATTGTTTTGTGTATAAATCAATTTCCTGTATTTTTAATTAAAAAAATTAATAACACATAAAAGAAAAAACAAATTTTTTATTTATTTAAAACAATGTGAGTTTTATTATTTAATGATGAGAATAATAATAATAAATTTTTTTTTTTTTTCTTTGTGAATTGTATGTGATTTACTTATTGACTATTAATGTTAATAAAGTAAAATGAAAAAAAAAAAAAAAAAAAATGAATATTGTTCATAAATTTTAATTCGTAACTTAATTTAAATTATTTCGATAATATAAAAAGTTAAAAAAAAAAGAAAATTCTAGGAGCTTTCATACTTTTTTTTTTTTTTAGTAGCTAACACGCCCCCAAAACAATTTTTCCAAGTCGGTTAAAGCGCAATCCTTCATAACATTATAAAAATTTTTAACTTCTCCCGTCGGACAAAACAATAATAATAATAATAATTATATCATATTAAAAATTCTATTGTTCTCACAATATTGGGGGCAAAAATGTTCCAAAATCATCTAAACTAGTTTCGCCATCACCGGCGGACGTATGCCTAACAGAAGGAGTCGTTACATTTACTTTGACGGTTGTCGTTCCTCCGACATCGTTTTGTTCGGAATTTTCACTTTCCCCATATTTCCATTTTCTCGCTTTATGTACTTTAAATGCTGTGTATTGAGATTCGGTTACGGATGATTTTAAGGCTGTTCTTCGCTGTCCTAAATTTCCAGTCTCTGATGGAGATCTACGAAGGTCCTGAGAGGTTTGAGTTACCGAGGAAGTGCTTGAGGATTTTAGCCAATCATGCCTGAGTGCATCTTCGGGGTTCAGTCTTTTTTTCGCGTCCCACCTGTAATGAATTAATTATTAATTAATTATCAATTAAATTTTATGTATAATAAATAAATAATTTTTTTTTTTTTTTTTTTTACTAACTGCAGACATTGACTGATGAAATCTACAAATTGTTTATCATTGCAACGAATAGCACTCGCAAGTTCTTTCGATCCCGGTTTTCGTTTTCTTCCTTTGCTATTGGTAATGCATCTAGGATTACCTCTTGAATCTATAAAGGATTTTAATATTAATTAAAAGAGAAAACTATGGACAATAATTAAACTTATTAAAAAAAAAAAAAAAAAAAACTCACCGAAAAATAATCTTTTTCTCGATGCATTACTTATTACGTCCTCGGGTGGAATTCCCAATATTTCCATAACGCAGGCTAATTGTTCTATTTCATTTTCCCCTGGGAAAAGTGGGTAGCCCGTGTATAATTCGGCAAGAATGCATCCTAAACTCCACATATCTATTGCCGTGCCATAAGGAAGTCCCAAAATAACTTCCGGCGAACGATAAAACCTAGATTGAATGTATGTGTAAACTCTTTGATGAGAATAACAGGAACTTCCGAAATCTATAACTTTTATCGAACTGCTACCTCTTTGTTTCAATAAAACGTTTTCCTAACAAAAACAAAAAAAAAACAAAATTATTTTATTGTTATGAAAGTAAAAAGAAATTTTCTTTAAATTTTTTTGTTGAATGCTTACGGGTTTGAGATCACAGTGAATAATATTTTCTTTATGTAAAAGACGCAAACACTGAACAAGTGAATGAGCAAATCTCCTGATCAATGTTAGACTAAATCCTTGGTAACTGTTTTTCTTTATGAGCTCGTATAAATTAAGGCTGTTTTAAAAAGGAAAATCGACAGTTATTAAGAAAAATGTTAAGAATTTCTTATTTATAAAAAAAAATAAATATGTATTACACCACAATTAAAAATTTATTAATACCTCATTAATTCAAAACTAATACAAAGGTGATTCCTAAAATAAAAATATTCCAACATGTGAATCACGTTATGAAGAGAATATTTGTCTCTTTTACGAAGGTGATCGAGAATTTTAACTTCGATCAATGCTTGATGATGAAATCTTTTTTTATTTCTTATTATCTTTATGGCTACATGTTGATTAGTCTTATGATCGAGAGCTCTTATCACTTGTCCGAAGCTACCCTTTCCTATGACCTCGAGTATTTCATAACGGTATGAAATGTGGTCGTGGAGCACCTTTTTTATTTCAACAAAAAAAAAAAATTTTTTTGTTTAAAAATCTAAATGTTAGGATGCAACAGGGTTAAATGAATCAGGTTACGTTGGATTTACCATTCTTTTCCAACACACTCATCCTCTGAAATATTATATTTACCTTATGGTAACTTCCGTAATCATCATCAAAATCTTCCCCGTGGATTTTACAGGCATCCAATCCGAGATACCATATTTCTGAATATTTTTCTATTTCGCTTTTTTCATACTCCGTCAATCGACTTCCGTAATATTTGAGAGCCTCTGTTGGAAAAAAACAATCGTAAACTAATAAATCAATAACTAACTTCCGGTTCGACTCACACATTTCAAACAAATCTACTACCACTTTATCTGTCGTGGCAGATGAAATTTTCTAAGAAATAAAAATTTAACATACCTGAAGGAGTAAGTGGAAGTCGTCTACCATTTGGATCCGTTCTCTGACTCGGAGGATTATTTTCCACGTTATTATTATTATTATGGTAATTATTATGAGAAGAAGAATTATTATTATTTATACTCGGAAAACACGGCGATGGTGCTGCAGTCGATGAAGATCGCGACGATGAATTTTCTTGTTGATTGTGTTGCGAATGATAAATATTTTGTTTCGATGAACTTTTCATTTGCGTCGTATTACCAAACACAAGAAGTTTCGGATTCTGGAAAATGGAAAATAATTTTTTTTTATATTGCAATAAAGCCTAAATATTTTTATCATCATCACCGTTTAAAAAATTACCGAATAATTTAAACTTCTTTTAGATCCCCAAGAATTTTCTAAATTTTTCCCTGGCATCGCTGTCGACCAATTTCTTATAGCTAATTGCTTATTCGAATTGACCTGATTAATTTTTCCATTGGCTGCATTTGTTCCGTTGTTATATTTCGTTAAAACTTCTTTATTATGAATTGAACCAGGACTCTAAAACAAACAAAAAAATTTTATTACAAAAAGGAAAAATCTACAGAGAGAGAAAGAGAGAGAGAGAGAGATTGTTATGATTTCACAATCACACAGCATCTGTAAAAATAAATAAGTTTTTTTTTTCAGAATTAAAAAAAGTTGTTACCTTAACAAGAAGACATCCATATAAAATATCAATTAAAGGTGCCATATTTTATTAAATAAATATCATAATAAAGTATTTTGATAACACAATCAAATGTTTTTAAATATGTCTATTAAAGTTTATTATTTCAATAAAAATTATATATCACTCGAATAAAAAATTCTTTTAAATTAAAAAAACCTGAAATTTATTAATTTATTTATTTAATAACTAAATTCCAAAGTATAATAAATTTTAAGCACACAAACACACACACACACACGTGTCTTTGTATTTAAAATGTGAATCATCATAATTCGCGCGAAAAATTTTTTTTTTTTTTTATTAAAAATGCATTTTTTTAAATATTATTCTAAAGAAAGACAAATCACGTCTATGGTAGAATTATACAATAAAAATTTCATATAAATGACGCGATCGATATGTTGCATACCTTTCACAAAAAGACCTTGTTCAGGAAAAAAAAAGGGAAAATTTTTTTTTTTGCATGGAAAATTTAAGTTATTTCATTTGTTGATAAAACGAGATTTGTTTTTGTTTTTATCACAAAGTCTCATACCAATTATATTATTTCCACATAATCATACGTTTAAAACAAAAATTTTTTCCGTTACAAATTATATTTTTTTGAGCGTAAATATTTATACAGGAAAAATAATTAACGAAAAAAAAAGAAACGAATGTCCTTATAACACACAACCCAAATATAACATACGAAGGGTTTCAAGGTCTTGAAACACATATTTCAGGCACTCAACAACAACAAACAACAACAACAAAACCTTATTAATTTCATGATAATTTATATAAAAAAAAAAATAACTAATCGAAGAAATACACATAAACTAATTTCAAATCGATCACATCCGGTTAAAAATTAAATTATTATAGGTCATTGATCCTAAACGAAATTTGAATTGCCATCAATTTTTTTTTTTTTTTTTGGGGGGGGGGGTGTGTGTGGTGTTGAGCGGAAAAACTACTCCCCAAATTAAAAACTTCATCAACAATTTTTCGCGATAAGATTTAAATAATTTCGAATAATTACATAATTAGTTTTTAAATTTAAAAAAAAAAAAAAATTACACTAATTCACTTACACTCGACAAAATTTTATTTAAAAAAAAAAAAAAACCGTTAAAATATTCAATATTATTTAACCGACAAACGTTTGTTAACGACAAACAAACAAACAAACAAACAAAAAAAAAACAATCACTTATTATATCTCGACGGTTATAAAGTAACTGAAAACATGTTCAACAACATACGTCGGTCGTTTAGTTTTTTTTTTTTTTTTTTTTTTCAGGTTTTCATTCTTACGTATGTGAGTGTGTGCCTTATGGTTGTGCCTGAACGTCATTCGCGAATACCTCATATTAACGTTTTTTTTTTTTTTTTTACGTATTGGCATTAACTGTAAGAATGAATCATTTTTTTCCCGATTCCATCAATACGTAAAAAAAAAAATACCAAATACGTTAAATTATTAATAATTTTATTAACAATTTAATAAATTTATTTATTATGTATTTAATATACATAAATATTTTTTTTAATAATTTAACCAAAAAAAAAAAAAAACTTTTACTTTTTATTATTAACAACAAATTTGTAATTTTTTTTTTTTACTTTCGTTTATTGTTTTTTTTTTTAAACGATTTCACTTGCACTTTATTATTTATTATATTCACGACCTTTTAAATTTTCTAAATCATCTCATTGATGATAATAATAATAATAACAACAATCTGTCACGACGTATTGATTTTATAAAAATTTATTTTGTGATTCTCTCAATTTTATAACTTCCGGTTCACTTTTCCTTCTTCTTTTATTCTACTATTTTTGTATGTAAAATTTAAAGAAAATTATTTAAAAAATTATTATTATTATTACGCACTTTATTTAAAAAAAAAAAAACGTATATCTGATTGAACCGTGACCGCCGTTATTAGTATGTGATTCCCTTTTTTTTCTTTACTGTCACGTGAAAAAAATGATAATAACGATGATAACAATTAAAAAAAAAATTACATAAAACAACATAAACAATAAACATTTATTATAAACATTATCAATTTCTACGTAATATGTTATGTTTATGTTTAAATCCGTCGTAACAACAATTTTTTTTTTTTTAAAGTTAATTATTACGCATTTAATGAATCAGTTTTTTTTGTTATTAAAAATTAAACTTTAAATAAAAAACAAAATATTTATTTTTTGTATATATTTATGCGACATGTTGTTTTATGTTTGAACCAAACATGATCTTGTCAATGAAAACAAAAAACTAAAACCCACCATGACTCACGATTGACCCCAATAAACTAAAGGCTAACAAAAATTTTTTCATAATGGCGTCTTTTAAAAAAAAAAATAATCCTCATATTGTGTATTATCATCATCTCACTTTCTTTTGTTCCCCCCATCATTATTATTATTATTTATAAAAAGAAAAACCTTATTCAAAATGATTTATATTCATTTTGTATTATAAAATACGCATCCATTACCAAACTGTTTCATCTAATTAAATTATAAAAAAAACGGATTTTAAATTGAATTTATTCCTTTATTCTTTTCATATGAATAAACATGGTTTTTTTATAATAAGAATTAAAATTTTTTTTCCGAGCCTGTGTCACACGTTTTCCTTAAGTTTACATGCGATTTACGTAAGGACGATTACATACGACAGAAATTTTATCATCAAATTTTTTCCCCCTTTTAGGGAGGTATTTGATTGATAAAGGGTCGTTTACCCCCCGTCGGGAAATTTTCTTTTTTTTTTTTTTTTTTACGTAATTCAATCAATTTTATAACGTGAGTTAAAAAAAAAAAAAAAAAATGAAAATTTTTTAAAAATAAAGTTTAATTTTCCGGTTGAGAGTTTTGACCGGAAAATTACTTTATTATTATTATTATTATTATTTACGGTAAATTTCTGGCGTATTTAAAATTTTAATTATAAAATCAAAACCTGCGGTTAATATTTGCGTGTAAATTATACGAGTCCTTCAACTTGTAACATAAAAAAAAATTAAACACGCGAAACAAAAAAACGTTTGTTAATATGAATGACGTAAGTTCAAATTCTACGGGTGAAAGGTCCTTAAACTTGAATAAATAATGCACATCCATAAAAGTGTGTGAGTGAGTGATTTTCTTTCTTTCTTTCTTTCTTTCTTTTTTTTTCGATTTCACAAAAACCTTGAAAAACTTTTTTTTTTTTTTTTTATAAAATTTATTGTTAATCAAACAAAACTTTTGATTGCATTATCATTTTTTTTTTTAATTTTTAGAGTTCAAAAGTATTTTTTTTTTTAACGTCAAATCAATAAAATGTTATTTGTTAAGTAAAAACTTCGTTCCAGTTTAAACAATTTTTTTGTATTTTTAAAAATAAACTCTAAAAAATTATTCTAATAATAATAATAATAAAGTATTTTCCGCTCGTTTGAATTTTACTTCCGGTTTTTAATTTTTTTAAATTTTATTCTCCAGAATGATTGGGTTAAAAATTTAAATAAAACGACGGCAAACGTTTTAATTTTCTTATCAAATAGGAAAAAATCGATCAAATTTATTATTATTATTATTATTATTATTATTTTATTTTCACGTATACCATCATCATCATCATTATCATAATAATAATAATAATAATAATAAAATTATTTAAAATTGAAATTAATCGTAGCAAGAGAGCAAAAAGGAAGCGCGCGTGTATTGTCTCCCCCCACAAAAAAAAAAGTGACGAAAATATTTTTTCCAAGCGGGAGCCGATTTTAAAATAATATTATTATTAATAATAATAATAATAATAATAATAATAAAACGATTAAAATTATCTAAAACTTTCTTTAAAAAATGTAAATTTTCGTTTTTTTTTTTTTTTGTTTTAAATAAAAAATTTTAAAAAACAATTTTATTATTATTATTATTTTTTTCAAATTTGCTAGGGTTCAGGAAGAAAAAAAATACATAATAATAATAATAATAATAATAATAATAATAATAATAATAATAATAATAATAATAATAATTACAAAAATATTCTTTTTTTTGTGTGATAAAAATTAGCGAAAGTTGACCTCGTATTTTCTCGTAACCTCCTCGTTACAAACAAAAGAAAAAACTGCAACCATTAATTCACCGACTGACTGACTGATTGATTGACTGACTAGTCGAGAATAACAAAAAACACACGTGGATTTATTTAATAAATGAAAAATATTCACACGTGTATCATTTAAAAAATTTTTTTTCAAATTAAATAATTACTAAAAGATTATAATCTCGTTACGTAAAATAAATATAAAAATAAATAAATAAATAAATAAAAGGATTGATCAACAATGTTTGTTACAAATGATCTCGATATACATAAATACATAATAAAATCGAGTAGGAGAATATAATAAATAAGCTAAACAAGGTTTTTCTTTAAATGCCGCTTTCTTTCTATTCGTTCGGGTTCTTGTTTTTTACCAATTAAGTATAATTTTTAATGGTTTTAATAACGAGAGTAAAATTTAAATTTGTTCAGTAAGTATTAAAACGCCGATTAATAAATATTTATTATTAAATAAAGAGATTAAAAATTTTTGTCAAAAAAAAAAAAAAAAATGACCGTCGAGAAGTCGTTTAATCTTTACATTTCCTCATAATAATAATAATAATAATAATAAATAATTTATAAAATAAATTAAGAAAAATAAAAGAACTTTTTATATTACTGACGTCACATACATAAAATTAAAAATAAATTTTTTTTTTATTTTTCTTCGGTCAACGAATTCGCATGATTTTTATTTATTTATTTATTTTTTTATGACGTAATAATTAGTTAATTTTTTTATTTATAACTCCCGCCTAAAAATAATTTTGAAATTTTTTTAATTAATATCGTTATTATTATTATTATTATTATTATTATTATTAACGGTTTTTTTTTAAATCCTCACGCGATTTTTTAATTTCGCTACGTCCATCCATCCACGTTTTTTTTTTT